CTGACTGTGCGTTTAACAATTCGAAGCATTTGTCCATTTCCTCTTGTGTTGAGCAAAGGACAAAGCAGTCGTCTACATACTTTGAGTAATGATCACTTTGTAAATCTTTGCAGTTACGATTGTATAGGCTGTAAACCATAATTATGTCTAATATTTCGATACAAAAGCAAACCGTCAGACTTTATAGACCCTAAACATTTCGGTGCCACACTTATTTCAGCGAAACCTCTCAGGTTGGGCAACTTTTTATTTTGCCGTTAAAATATGCAAACCTGACAATTTCCATGACATGGTGTTCAAACATAGTGGTAGGAAGTCGTCACTAACTATAAACTGGACTAGGACTTGCCAACATGCTGCTCTGGTTTTCCCAAGCCGCTAACGGTTCTAGTTTTGTTTACTCTCAGCTAATCTTTCGGATTAAAACGTCGAACAGCTCCTTAGCTCAGACAAACATGTGACGTAAACCCATTTGCTCAAAATCCAAACTCGACACCCAGGCAACGCATTCTCCACGATGAGATGGAAAACCATTAAGCGGATTTCGTCCGATTTATTCTATTAATGCAGCTTCACATAAAGTATTTATATGAGGAGTTACTTATTCATGTCATTCGTAGGTAATTTGAGTTGAAGCGCTTAAAATCCAACCTTGACATAGTACTTTCATTTTAGGACAAACATTATACTGACTCAAACCAGTTGCACTAAATACCTTTTACGAACTTGAAGCACACCATGATGGTGAAAGAAGCGATTATCAATTCACCATGTTTCAATCTTAGGATATTACTTAGAGCTGGCTCTACAGTCATGGGCTGGTATAGTTACATAGATTTAAAGTTTCTTAATCCATTGCAAATTCTTTCTTCTTGCCAATCATACAGTCTCAATCCACAGTCGTCTTCACAGAGTTTGAAAAGTGCAATATACATACTATATAGTAAGTCAAGAGTTCTTTGTAACAAGCAATCCTGGTCTCGGTGTGAAGTGGTGTGGTTGTTAATCAAGTTATTAATCCAAGAATTTTTCCTGAAAAAGGTCCCTGTAAATCGCTCACCAAATATATAGAACGGTTTCCTGGCCCCATCGCTATTATTTCGCTCTGCTTTCGATTGGCTATCGAATAAATAAACATAGTGAAGCAAGAAAATTCCGTTAGAGGTTAATTTGTGCATTTTAAAAACGGTCTAAATTTACTGTAACTATCACCTACTCCCAGATAAGCTAACACGAGACTGCCAAAAAACTTCATTCGACTGACACCTTCACGGCCTTCATCTTCTTCAGTTCCGGATTGATCCGAGCCGAATATCCAGTTATTCCTTCTTTCGATTTCGACCTTCGTGATCATGATTGGAATATCATTGTAACTTACTGACGAGAATGTGATAAACATAAAAGTCATGAGTGAACGAAAACTACCTCGCCTACCAATTTCAAATGCAAATATCAAACCCCAATTTAACTCGCTTCCTCACATTGATAACCCATGAAAGTCTTCTTATTTGTGAATTACTTTTGTTCCTTAGGATTTCTTATCTTCTTCGTGAATGTGATGTTAGGTTGGCCAGAAACATGGTGCTTTATTCGTTGAAGTACAACCATCAGAATATAGATACCTTTACCAACAAAATGCAACTTAATATCCTCCATCATGATAAGGCTCTAAACTTCTGCAGTTCAAAAAACTTTTCCTTTCCTTCTTCACTTACTTGGACATGGATACCATTGTGGATTTATTACCGCAATTCATCACAAAAGCCATACGGTACAAGGCTTCCAAGACTCTTCTACGCCTACCATAAACCACGGCCCACGTTTGTTGTTCTTTTATCATGACTTACACTACTTCGGCTATTGTATTTTTCAGCTAACAATTACCATATAAACACCCGATATACAACTGGTAACTCCTTCGCATTCAATTCCGCTGCCATTTCAGATCCAATGCAATTTTGGTTTCGACTCATTCTTCTGTGCTGTTTCACTGTGCTTCTACTCGCCACCGACGAACAACTCGAAAAGAGACCAGCACTACTATCCAGATACGGTAGAGCGCTCCTATCACGGTATGGAAAACGATCACCGAAAGTTATCCCTCCTGACAATGGTGAGTCGGAGTTCTCGACAGTAAAGATACAATACAAATTCTTCTCGGAGAAAAACCTCCGGACACATTCGTAGAATACATTTCACCCCATTGCAAAACATAATAAAGAAAATAAAAGAATTAAGTTTTAGAGAATTAAGAAGAAGTTCGATACAAGAAATTAAAAACTGGAGTTACGGTGAAATTAGAAAAAATGTTAGTCGTACTCCCACCAGTTGTTCAAAATTCCGATTTCTGTCGTTGTTCTTAGCAGTGTTGAAATAAGTTCAGTCATGAGTTGTCTAGAGACAAGAGTACATTTGGATATTTTCTTTACAACCCATGGAAGAATTGAATCTCCCAACATCAGTAATTCTACAAATATGGTAATCCCGACCTGAGTTCCTCATCGTTCTAAGAACATGGTGAGAAAATGACTCATCAACTAGTTGTAGTTAGCTGATGAACCGATGAACGACATGAAGTCGAATATCTAGTAAAATGACTTTCTAATACTACCGATATCTAACAAGTCATGAGGCAAGGTTACAGAACTGCTTACCAATCAGGTGACCATACAACTGCAACCGTTCTGCTTCGACCTACCTTCCAAAACTGTCTCTGGAAACCCACTCTCGGCTGTCACCATAGATCTTCACGAGTGCGCGATTTCTAATAAATGGATTTAGTACCGTGCCAATTTGTGGTACAAAAAGTGGATTCACGGTTCCTTAAAAATTCAGTGACGTTTAATATACCGCGAAAACTTTGGGTAGTTTTTATGATGAGGAATGTTTTCCAAGAGAAGTGAGTTTGCTAGAAACGAAAACAGCTTCATATATGAACATTACTTAAGAATTGGAAGAAAAATAGGAAGAAAATCGCGGAAATTCTTGCAAATTCAGGCAAAATCTGCTAAAACTGGGGCTGGACATTAACTAGGTTTGCTACTGACATGTTTATTTGTTCTGTTCAGAATTGGTGTTATGTCGAAGTGTGAATGGAGAGTTTGTGTGCGCGCCATACGCCGACGACACCTGGCGTAAGTGAATCGCCCGTCGTGTCGCCTTCGACACCACTGACCAATGCCGTCGTCCGCCTGGAAAGTCGTCTTACGCTCTGAATATCTTGTTCTATTGCTATTATAAAAGATTAGCTATTCTCTTACATAGGTGTTTCTGTACTATGACACTCTTAAGATAAATAGATGAAGATTGAGCTTACTAAAATAAAATGTCAGGTCAGAAACGACAATTCTTAAACGATTTAAACTTGATAAACATTTGTTTACCAGAGAAATTTTCAGCTCCTAGAAGACAACATTAGCGAAATATCCTCAAAGCGGTTCAAAAATTCGGTGCAAATCCACTTCATATAACTCCAGACATTGAAAAACTCCTACACATTTTTCGAGCTTCAACGTAAAGTACATGACAGTTCTGACAGCCTCCGATGAATTGAATTTTCCTTACTTCCACGTTTGTAATACTTCAACACAAACGATTTAACTAGTGCTTCGAAGTTCCCATTCTTAGTTAACTGAACTAGGTTCGACCACAATTTGCATTCACCAATGATTTGAAATTTGGACAAGATTTTCTTTCCCTGAAGTCTTGAACTGATTTACTTCGGGTTGGGCTTTCGTGAGATGAACGCCTATTGAAGATCGTAGCTCAGCCAAAAACATCCCAGAATACTCTCCAGACAACTATGAAGTGAGAAACCACTGCAGAGCTTAAAAATACCTAGTCAAACTTAGACTTAATAACGAAGCTAAATCATTAAACTGAAGAATATTTTAGCCGAAATTCAATGACAAAAATAACAAGCTAATATTAAAACATCGTCGAGTTTATTGCGTCGAAGGAAGACTAAACTGAAGACAAGAAGCAGTTCAAAAACCATCGTCCGCCGAAGTCTCAGATGATTATCCTGACTGGCAAGGGATTAATTTGACGCACTGTTAAACATTTTGGAATTCAGATTTCAAGCCGTTGCAACATCTAGAATAATCTCTTGATCAATGAGGAGAACCATGTCCACTTTGCATGGCTACACAGTAGTGATAAATATGCTATAAATGATTCCACTGTTATATCCATTGCTTCGATATATAGATGGACCGTTTTCAGAAGATATTTGCGCTTCGGTAGTATTTCCACTAAAACAGCATTAGCTGAGATTTCTGCATTGTAGCCCTGTTTTTCTCTGCCATATTTTTCTCAGATCACAACTATAAACGGGCACCAGCAACTATGAATTGAACGGAGGTCCACTACCTAGAGAACAAATGTCTTCCGTGACGGTGTCCACCAGTAGTTAGGTGTATTCTTGCCTATGCTTCCGGACAAAAGCGGCTTGGGTGAGTATGCACGAAGTGGCATATTACATAATATGTTATAACTGTATAACTTTGTGAGTTTAGTTGATTATTCACGTGAAAACAGGCAAATGCAGCCGTTTATAAAAAATAGCTGAGTCCACACATTTTACTTCAACTAACTACTAAAGATAATTTCAGTCTAGTAGGTGTCAACAACATTTCCGTTCGTCACTCTTTCTTTTGTGTCAGAAACCAAGAACGGTTTCCACCAGCATGAGGAAATCATAATTAATTGTGATATGTTTCTACGAACAGATAGCCAAACGTAGCTCGTCGAAAATGAGTGCTATACGGGTGTTTTGCGGATTTCATTAGACGACACAGTGAATTACTTGGTGAGGAAGATTTTGAAACGATTTAAAAGTTTACGTTTGACACAGATTAACAAGGTATCCAAATCTTCTTTACCATCACTCGTTTCTCATTCATAATTCTATATTCAATAATTTGCCTATTTGGGCCCTTTTGAGCACATTAATGACCTAAGGAATTAACTAAATAAACATACTGGGCTGAGTCAGAGTAGGTCAAACGAGTGTGTAAACGACAGCATCAGAACGAACCACTGAAGAGAACCGTACCGTTTCACGCGCCAACTGAACGAAGTAATAAAAGTTATGAAAGGAACTATGTGATTTAAAATTTAAAAAATTCAATAAGACCCGCGTTAATGGATTTTTCATAAATTTACTGGATCTACTGACACTCTGTGTAGAAACTGTCATCAGTTTAAAAAATTTCGAATCCAATGATTGTGCCATGCTTTAGCTCCATAGCTTCATAAAAGATAAGCGGGAAGAGACGAAATGTGAAATCCTGTTTCCGAATTTGCTGTACAACTCCTCAAATACATTTCCCGTACTGACCAAAAACGCGCTGGCTATCCAAAGTTTCTATGACTAGTTAGGCCTCAACCGAATTAAACGCCTCTTATAAATGAGAGACGAAGTGGCATCTTGTTCTATTCCCATACTACAGTGAGTTCCTTGAATGCTTGTAGCAAGCCGATTCCCTTTCTTGTGTAATAACACGGTCTTTTTTGTTTTCCGCTAATTTCAAATCTTGCAGTTTAAGCGATGTGGGAAGATAAACCGCTGGTATGCTATACTCATTCTACCTACCATGTCGTGGAAACCGGTGTGGGTAGCTGTCAAAGAGCAGACAGTTAACAAATTTTTCAATGGCTAATTCGTCTAGGCGATTATTCTACAATTCGCGAAACTTAAGCGGGTTTCATTGGTACTGTAGGCATTAACTGTGGCTTCAGCCACTTCTACTCCGCTTTTCCTGTTTCGTTTCACTGCTTGGCATTACATGTTTACACAAAAATGGTGGCTGCCTGTATCTCGTGCGAGTCAAGGTTGGCGCATCAGCTCAAGAGTATGTAGGTACAGGCGACCCCTAAAATTTTGAAATTCTCAGTTTTTTGGCACGACTTTGAAGTTGTGAAATCAGTCGATAGTATCCCTCTGATTTGGGAATTTCAGCTCTGGTGCTAACTCTTCGCAATCTTAGTGTCAAAGTCACCGCAGTTAACCTTGTAACAAGGGACGACTAAAACTCTAAGTTTATATACGATACCTCCACCTATATTGGTTGCAACTTGATGTGGGCATGCAGTTTTGTATAACTCGGTACTATTCTACATTTTGCCTAATTTAAACTTCCAATGCGGATCATTAGTTGTTCAAAATACCCAATGTTCATGGCCAAAGTTATTCTGAAGAGCAGCTCTTCTCCGACACCAAAATCGACATTAAACGAATGGCGTCTTCTGGTCTTCGCAAATCGGATGATGTGGAACAAAACTATTTTAGCCTTCATCACCACGTCTTTGATGGAGAATTCAAATGCGCGGTACACGTAGATCTCCACCACAATCCGTTCGAATTTTGAAGACTTAAAAGATATAAATAGTCAGATTTCTCATGGAAGGTGAAAGGCTTATTTGTTTGCAGCGACATCAGCACCTCCCATGTAGTTCCCAGTCTGTTGATTGCATGCTTCTGGTCGAATTAGCATCAAATGCGTAGGTACACTCACAAGTTCATGCATGAATGCGACCGAAGTAAAGATGGCATATAGCAATCGTGGATTTAAAAAAAAATGAAAAAAATAGAAGTTCAAGTTATGTTTTGACTTCCTATTCCTGCTTATGGAAACTTTTCCTTACATTTGCACAAAATCCGTTCAGCTGGGCAATAACGCGAATTCTCGTTGTAGTTTTAACCTCTTATAAAACTTTTACTACGGTAATGATTAACCAGAAAATCCATCTGAACGAAATTTTCCTTCTTGCTTCTTTTATAATCTTCCAACTAATAGCTTGCTGCAGAGGGAATGTCGGAGTTCACTCGGCAACAACAATTTTACTGGTAAATGCTAGAACTCGGTTAAAATGGAACTTTATTAATCATTACAGGAAATATTAGAAATTACATACTAATGTTCCCGTCTGTTTATGAAATTTAAAATTTAGGAGCTTCCGAAGCTTCGAATTCATTTGGGACATTTTCAGCAACAATTTGGTTGTCGAAAATTTTCTCGTCAAAGCTCAACAGATGAGATCCTGATAGAATGCTAGAAAAAACACTAAGAGTTTACAATGTCACCACTTTCTATTTACTGCCTATACTTTTTTAATGGCAAGGTATGATGTGGAATATAACCACAATGATGCTGAGATATTTGTAAAACTCCGAACCAAAGGTGTCTGAACCGAACACGTTATTATCCTTACCAGGAGCTAAACGCGTTCACCACCGCACCATGCCGGTCCTTCGTGTCCCCTTTCTTCAGCTAGTTTTCTATCAACCAGTGCCATCAGCAATGACCCATCAATGGGACTGACCTAGGGAACGCAAATCGGTATTGCAAACTGGAACAAATGGGAAGGACCCGCATGGTGTGCTGCTGGAGAAATCAGCTGCAAGAAACGGTAATAGCGTGCTCGATTCCCACCGCAGACACCCGCGGCCCGTAGTTTTGCGAATATCTCAGCATCGTCGTGATTGGAGGTTTATACAATCCTTCAAAAATTTTATTTTAACTCCAGGTATACTCGAGATTCAAACTTTTAAGCAATTTGAAGCTTTAGAATTCTTGTGGCATGCGCGCCAACCACAATCATCACCGATGCATCCTACGAAACCATAGCGCTTCGTGCTGGACGAAATTCCTATTGTTCAATCGATTTGCCCTTCAAAATACAAGACTGAATGAAAAGAAGTGGAAGAGTAGGGGTCTAGTGTAATCGACAAAGTTCGAATTTCGCCTTGATTGAATGAGAACTCTTGTATTTTTCGGAAAAATACCCTAAGATTCCAACAGCTCATGCTTCGAGATGAAAGATTTCTTCTCTGAGATCTTGAGATCAGATAGATTTATGTTCATTAAGAGATGAAACAAGAGCGCGCGTTGGGCAGCTACCTAAAGTGTTACGTGCTCGTCAAGTCATTTCGATGACGATCCGTGCTGAGCAAACCTCTCATCCTTCCTGGTCCAAGCATTCATACAAGACTAATCCAAAGAAAGAAAAACACTTTCTTCATGAAACAGTAGACCCGTGTGATTTATTGCATAGGCCAAACATACATTCAAATGGTTCTATGATGCTTAATACCGTCCTTTTCATGGTGGACCCACAAGTGCTTAATCAACACTGAACTATTTATCCTTCACGAGATATGTTGGTTTAAGATTAGGAAGAAAAATTATCTTCGTTAATGTGCGAGTTCTCGAACAAGTTCCACACTAATACGCTAGTCATTCAACAAAAAATTTTAAATGACTTCAACCTTAAAGAATTTGAATCTGCTTGATACACTTATTTAGAAGGTCCTGTTCGTTTCCTATCCGGATTCCTTTCGACTAAACCTAAGCTTAGAGCAATTCATGCTGCGTGATGAATGATCCTTGATTTCTTGAGAATTTTAAAGGTGTTTCACTCAAAAACTCAGCACAAACATATATTTTCGCGCAAAGAAATTCCCTCACCTAGACGATATTAAAATAAAGCATGACTGGTTAAATGCATTAACATGTTTCTTTTTTTTCTAACTTAACAAAAAAGCTAGTTTCTTAACAAAGCGCGCCTATGTCGTGGAATTCTTACTTGAAATCGCAAAATATTAGGTGTTGATCCGTGACAGAGGTGGCATCGATTCGACTTAATCAAGGATCGTTAGAGGTGATTGCATGCATATCTGGCCTATATAGTACCTTGTGGTAGCCCACAGATGTATCCAGTTAGTCCGTTATCCTTGCATAAGAATCTAGTACCAATTTTTCGACCCCGCAGGAACGGAAGGTTTGGTGAGTCTGGGACGCAAGATTTAAAATTAATATCCAAGTGCCGTACACTTCTATACACTGGACCACACGCATCTTTCGCCTTCAAATTTTTATTAGTTTAATAAAACCACAAATATTCCCATCTTCCTACCTTTATTACCGAGGCAAGTGATAAAAGCCCATAGTTTTATAAACAATTTAAGGCCAAAAGCTTACTTGTAATTGTCGCTCTACGTTCACCTGCACCCAGAACCGCACTGAATCCGCTTGCTCGAATATATCCACAGAAAACTCGGTTTCCATGTCTGTCTGATCGTCATAATAATACTCCTGAAAATTTGTGAATATATGGTTGGAAAATGAGCAATTGTTCCCCAACAGAGCAAAATATTAATAGCGGTGAAAACTATTCTACAAAGAGGCATGAAAAATCAATAGTAGTAGAGAAGTCTGAGACAAAATAAAATCAGCTCCCCGTTTTCGATCGATTTCATTGAGATCAGTGGCCACATTTGTGTTCGACCTTGAAATTCGCAAAACTCGTGGATTACGCCTACATACGGCCTTTTGGTGGAAAGTAATAACTAATGAAAAAGTTCCTTTTTTAGAAGCGAATAACTAAATATTTGTAGAATTCGATTAGTTTAGGTGCCACGACTACGAAGACCAACGAAAAGAAGCTGCTCTGGAGATTTGACTCCCCAACCATCTCGGATTTGATTTAGGCAAAACCTCAAAACGTTATTCATAATAGATTTGTAACAACTTCGTCGTGTAAGCTTACCAATACAGCAGAACGTTGATTATCCATACAGAGGCTAAACGAAAATCAGAACTGAATGTCAGATTTGCTATACGCCAGCAATATCAATTCATCGAATAAACAAAAAAAAAACGGTTGGAAATCGACTAGAGTGCGTGCTTTTTGGTGAGCTGCCGGTCAGGGCACTTCAGCATGGCTAGAAACCTAATACAGCGGTTGTGCTGGATGACGCTACTTCATTCGTGCGGTGATCCACTCTACTCGATGTCGTCTCCGTGCAACGACAAAAAGACCAACAAGAAGCAACTGCTATGGACGCTCGATTCGAATCATCCTGGCTCAGAAGAAGACGAAACCGGCAAAACATTAACCATAATAAAGAATTTTAACAACCTAAAGTTTATATGTAAGCCAAAACTACACAGAAATACATAGAGGGAGATGACAAGAGAAAGAGTTTCATTAACACTTCGATGAAGACAGACCCAACATAAAGCCGAAGTGGTGGCTCACAATCCACATTTCTCAGCTCGCTATAACTGTAGTTGGACGTAGGAACTATGTGAAAAACACTATGTCACCTATATCACCTTGAGTGCTGAAAACTTCTTCACGACAACGTATATAGACGAATGTTGATTTTGAGAAATAAAGCAGTCGGGAAAACATAGCTGTCTTCCCTGAAATGGTACTAAGGTGGGGTTTACCTTGATTTCACAGTTGCCCGTAGTAGTCGTATTGGCCGTTCATCTAGGCCATAGAGTTTTCAGCCACTAATGTTGTTCTACCCTTGAAATTTTTTTCTTCCATACCTAGCTTTCCGGGCTCAAATTTAGAAAGGTAAAGCTCATTCTGGAAGTTGTTTGTCTACCAACTCGAAGGTTTCTGTAAAGAGATGCTCCTTGCAGAATATTCAGCTCTTAGCATCCCTAGCATTTTCGCGGGGCTAATAAGTGAGATAACAGCAATGCTCAAGGATGACATTAGTAGCGCTACTTTCCCAGATCTTGTGCAATGCCGTAAAAACTTCTCAGTTCATGGTGATTGCACAACTACATTGAAAGCGAATTTAAAGGAGTTATTGTTTTGTTCCTTTGCAGAACGTGGGACCGAATCGAAATCTTTCCAGATGGACTCTCAAAGTTGTGCTTGCTTGCGCTGAAGCCGCCGATAACGGCCATGTAAAAAGTGCTGTTCTCTCCACAAAACCCATCCAGGCCACATAAAGCACATCGTTCTCTCGTCGTTAAAGTTTCATGTTGACGTGTAGACGACGATGATTCTCACAACCTGTACTGATGCACATCTTTCCAGTTGTAATCAACAGAACTGGATCGTTACTGGCTTCAAAAAAATCTGTGCTCATGGGCGATTCGGACTTGATTCAAATTTCGTGTATGCAAGCACACGAAGTCTTCTAGCTAGGTTTATTTTGAGAAAAGGTGTTTAAGTTCTGAAATAAACAACGTATCAGGTGGTTTATTCTTGCCTCGGCTGCCATGATGATTTTGTACTAATCTTGTTCGTTCACAAATCTTCAACGGAGGAGACGATGACGACCGATGATGTTGACGAGCGTGCGTTACATTTACATATCATCATTTTGGTTTGTAACATTTAGATGGTTCACAACGCCCGTGAGATTTCCGCAACCTCTTAATACATGGCCAATACTGCCACTTTGCAAAGCTCTCCAGAGCTAGGCGAATAACACCTTTTTCTTCTTTTTTTAGGCAAGCACAAGACACCTATTAATACCATTGTCGTTGGGACTGAGTATTCATAATGAGTAGCCTTCATATGTCAGAATTGATACCTATTTGCTGAGCACAGCTTCTAACGTCCTCCTATCTACTTCTTAATAGTTTTCAACAAATCGACGTAAAGAGTGCAACCCGCAGAGCCTCACATTGATATGCATGAAAATTATGGTGTGTATAAAAAAAGCATAAATTAACTCGGTATAGTGATGTGTGAAAAAATGGATTTCAATAAATTCAAAAATGGTAAACATTACTCGGATACCAGCTTACAAGAACAGGGTAGCACAAACTACTAACTAGCATAGTTTTTGACCAAATGACCGCGATGCAGCATTCATCTAAGAATAATCGAGTTCAATGCACACCTACGTCTTCGGATTTGTGATCAACACCGGGGATGGAAAGGAGAAGTCGTAGAATGCAGTGATTCTTGCTCCACTTCTGAGTTGTTATTGAAGGTGAAGGACTTTGGCATGCAACTTCATTCTGCAAGCTTCATTCGTACTCATTAGTTTCAACTTATTTCCCATTATGCTAGGTTTACTGCGAAATTTGCATAGCTAATCTGGAGCATGTTTCTTCAGTAAGAATACGAGCAATATTTAGTAGAAATAGACATTAATATGGTTGATAACAGGCAGCAAAATTTGCAAAGAAACGATTTTAAACGGCAAAGGACACCAATGAAACATGAAATTTATTTTGTTATAATCTCACCTTTATGGCGCTAGCAACTGGAAAAGTTAAGTCCCTTTTTGAAATAATTTACATTTTAAAAAATTTAAATCTGAGTAGTTCTCGATCGGTCCCTAAACTGAACCCAGAGGCCCCTAAGGCCACAAGACTAGTTGCTGCTCTAGAAGAATCCTAGTTGCAAAATAACCAACCTCTCTCGACTTCAGAGCTAAAGATGACGATCAGTGATAAAGACCTGGGAAAATCCCAGCACGATCAACTCATAAAGTAGACAATCGGGCTCGCTCATCATTCAACATAGCAATATGAAAATATGAAGAACGCTCAAGCCAAACCCAACCTCAAACGTGAACTCTGTCAAAGGTATATGGGCCACCTAAGCATAAGTAAGTTCTTTTTGAATGAACGATCATCGGGATTTCGATAAGTTTTAACAGAACATTCCCCGGTAGTATACAACCAAGGTGTCGTTACTTCGTCAATGTTACAGGCAAACAACCGTTGAGTTCCAAGGGAAATTTAGGTCCAAGATTCCCCACAAATACAATTCTATTGGATATTTCGTAATCCAAATTATCTAAATCTAAGAAATACTATGAGAAGAATAGTGAATTACTACAGTTGGCCTGAAGATTTCGAAAGTTTGTGACTGAGAACTTAGAATTCTTTCGGGCATGAAGGAATGCACTATCAAGTACAAGGACCTCAAGAGCAGTTAATATTCCTTTACTCAATATTGGTTCTTCAGAGTAATCCCTCAAAATAAGTCTAAACATGATAAGTAAAATGACTCACATCGCACCTCAGCCATAAATGGGCATTACATGAGTAGCAGTTTTATGCATGAAAATATGCTACAGATGTGCTACTTATTGACTAAATCTTGTTCCCACTATTCGACTTTAACTGCTATTCACTATAATCACAACGACAACATAATCTCACTCCAGTTATTAAACTCCAACTCAATGCCAACGATCATTTGCGTCACTTACATACGTTTTAAACCCTTGTTCTATCGAGATACTCGAAATAGAAACAACCAAGTAACATTCGTTTCTGAAGTGCCAGTGTGGAGTGTTACAGGTCTCAGTTAGCCCAAATGTCGCGAAAGGAATCTTTTTTATCAAGAGCAAGTGGTCTGAATATATGAAAACTATAGATAAATCGAGGACTGCAGAGACAATGGGTTCATTTCTTGAACCAAACTTTAACAAAAAAAAAACACTGATCAACAACAGTCTGAAAAACCTGTTCGAAAATTTGAATATCTGGTCCACATGCACAAAGACTCGTTCAAAAGAAAAAAAAACAACAAAATTTCCATTGGACTAGTAATTTTCAAACTGAGGAAGATCCTTTCTCCCTGCAGTCACGAAGTAGCCATGCGACTTTTATAGACCATCACAACAAGCAATCGTCAGTCCCTATTATGGATTTCAGAAAGGTATTGCATCTTTCAACAATGCTAGTACAACAGTTGTGATTACTGCAATTGATTTACCTCAGCTGGGTTTCCAGATGAAAATATCAAAATTCGTCTTAGCTCGCGAGGCGATACAAGCGTGATGAACGCCACCCTTTCTCTCATTGTACTTTGTAATAACTCGAGGCTCTAGAACAAACCCCATCCATGACAGAGCAGAAAACACCTAGAGCGTATAGAATCCTTGTTACAAAGAGATAAAAAGCAATAGGCGTTCGGTGTTGACCACTCCCTGATGGTGCACCATGTATTCGACTTAACCAAATTCGCAGAGGTGATTGAATGCACATTTTGTCTATACAATGATTTGAAGTGGCCTACATATGTATCAAGTCAGTGTTGCTCTCCTCCTAGGCAAGTTTGATACCAATCTGCAAACTAACAGGAATGGAAGGCTTGTTGAGCTCGGGAAACAGGATTGAACCACCAATCTAAGCAGTGTGTCTTTCATGATACCTCTAACCAGTGTGCTATGAACGTCGCTTGTTTACGATAGTTAACTTAAATTAGCCGTATTAGATCATATTTATGTCGGGATTTTTCTATAAATACTACGTTTTCATAGGCATCGTAGAGAATGACTGCGGCATATATGCCACCTGTCCTCACAATCATGAAGTATCCTCATGTGTGAGAATGAAAAAATGGAAAAAAAGATGATGATGCAAAATTCTTCGTCCTACCTTAGTGATGAAGTCTGCTAAAAGAGTCAATTTAGAGAGTATGAGGGCATCAAAGAGAGGTTGGCTAAAGAATCGGGGTACAACAACGGAGACGGACATCTCGCCTTGTGGTCGAACCATGGGCACGGGCACTCTAGTCGTCTCTGAAATTTTGCTCCATAGTTTGTGAACAAGATACAAGGAACACGAAGATGTCGGCACTTCTTTGAAAGGTATTGAAATAGCAACGTATCCTTTTAACGTTAACGGTTTATTATTGCATAGAGAGAATCTAGAGTGATTAAATCGCTCACCGTGGAGTTTGCACACCTCCACACCGCCGTTAGCAATACTGTTCACTCTTTCACAGCTTTTTGCAGCTCCACTCAAGCACCCGCATCCGTGGCCAGTTCCGAAAAGACAAAAGCTGAAAGCACGGAGAAAATAAGGTCAACCAAAAAGCGATGTAGACAGGCTTCCCACCACCTCATCCACTTACGTAGTTGCCTTTTCATAGCATTCGCTGCAGTTAGAACATGGAGTTGTGGTCGGTGTAGTGGTACAATGAAGGAGTATACACTGTGACCATATCCTAATAATGAATTCCTTAATAATGGCATGAGATAGAAAACAAATTGCGCTATCCAAACTAAAAAACCACAATATGACTCAAATCAGCAAAGCAGTTCAAAAAGTCTAAAGTTCTTTCCCTTTTCATGTTCTGTCCTCAACATTTTTCGGAAGATTCTCGTAGCTCCCTCTTCATGATGATTTTAATTTTCTCTTGACGAACATCATACAGATTAGGGTTCAAAGCAAGAAAGGAGGAAGCCAGAATATCAATTATTGATGCAGTTTCAGGATTTTTTTCCTTTTCAGAATAAGAAATTATGCTTACTACTACACTCGACAGGTGTGTGGTCTGATAGCGGGCGAACCAAATGCAATACTTGAATAATCCTAGCTGAGATTATGAGATATCCGACGTGCTCGTGAACAAAATAGTTATTAAATAAAGTGAACGTAGATGAAAAACCCTTAGAGCTTAACTGTGTTATCGATTGTAAAGCGCGTAACTAAAAAAAAATATGCAAGACCATTCCTAAATCATAGGGTTAAGAAGTGAGCTATAGAAGTATCGACTCTGGGGACGTATTGACCACAGGTGTAGACGGATCACTCAACTAGTTAACAAATTTGCGGATGTATGAGTCATATATGACTTGTACGTAAAGGGACCAATAGACAGAATGAGCCATATACAACTCATTTTATACCTATTTATTTTCTTGCACAATCTTTTTCTGCCATGGATTTTGAACTAAACCGAATAAAGATGTTGCTCCCGATGTTGTATGAGAAAACCAACTTTCTACTAATAAAAACTAACAAAAAAAAAACCCTATTATGAAGACAATGATGCTGGTAAGGAGAATATAGAAGTATCTCTTCACCAGGGTAAGACAGCATAACATTGGAGAGACGTGTATAAATGCATTTGTTGTTTGCCAAAGAACCCATCACACTGGCACAGTCACAATACAGATCCTCCACCACTACGTAATAATTTCCACTGGCCAGTTTAATAAATGTACTAATCTGTACAACCGACCATGTCCACCACAGGTGATACTGTCAGCCAAATGAAGGTGAACAAGCATCTTCTCAGACTCGACTTTTGACGTCACTTCGGATCCAGAGTAAAACTGTTCCTATTCGGAAGCAGACACTTATGAATCTTTTCGCCTTTTCAATAGAAGTAGGTACCTTTCACCCATGTTTTCCTCGTCCAAAAATCTGTCCATTTCACATTTACACCACAAATATCAGCTACAAACGATCCATGAAGATATGTTGCTTTTCCGCATCTAAGCAGAAGCGTTTAATCCACTTCAAACTGGCTGTCTCGAAAATCTAGTGGTCGTGAAGCACGACAATAATCGTCGACTCACCGCCGACTTCATCGTTACCATCTTCGCCCTGATCATAACGACTCGCTGCCTTAAAATTTTTGAACTATAAGAAGCGAATGATATCCCACGTTACCCCGCACGTGTCTAGCTTCTTTTATCACTTTCTATAGGAAACGTCCATAAAAAATAGCTCAATTTGTTTTCACCATCATCTGAGCTAACGAAATTCAATTCCCGAATAGTGAACGATTTGACCATGTTCACTTGAAATCACTACGATGAAATATGGAAATCGTGTAGAGTGTGTTGTTGTAAAACCATTCGAAGCTATCGGAATACCCTTAACGTACGTTGTCAAAACAACTATCAAAGGCCAGTTTTTCTTTCATCGAACAGAAGAGAAAGCTGCAGAAAGTATTCGAAAGCAAGTCTGGAAACATATAGCATAGCATACCGAATCAGACCTAAAGGATGAAGCTCTTGGATTAATCAATTTCTGAGAGATGGGCCACGCATTCGACTTCATTAAGCATCGCTTGGAAGTGATTGAATGCATTTCTGGCCTTTACAATAACCCGCGGTGGTCTACCGATGTATCGACCCAGTGCTGCTATCTTCCCAGACAAGTCTAGCACAAAATTAACGACCCAAGAGAAATGGAACGCTTGGTGGGTCAGCGGCGCGGGAATCCATCCCGTGTGTATTGCATGGCGCCTCCGACCACTGCGCCACACGAATCGTTACAGAAACAAATACAAGTGAGAAATATGACTTCAGGCTAGATTCTATCGCAAAGAATAAAAGAGAAAGGAAGTGATCATTGCTGAACACTCACAACGGACCGGAATGCCGAAGAAAACAGGCGCGGTGAGAGTCAACGAGAATGAGGCGTGGTCACGAATAGGCTGACAGACATGTTTATTACAATATAGCAATAAGGCCGTTGTAGACGTTTAAGCTGGCATTCCCAACGGTTGCTAATCCCCTTCGACAAGTCGGTTCAATAAAACACAAACATCTCATGAGAGATACGTACCCGACGATCGATACGATGAGCAACAGCAACCTCATGAAGTCGTGTCTCCGACTGATTGCGCAAACAGGTTGCGCGGCGAGAACTCCATATTGTAAACAACGGCACGCCTCAGTAGTCGGCCTCTATGGACCTGTAACTGTTTCTCCTTATGTTTCCCAAACGGCAAGCATAATGTCAAACCTTAAACTGTCTCTTATTCAACAAATACTTGATTAGTGGTTAGTTTGGCTAGATGGAACGACGTCTAAACTCATTCCGGTTGCGAACTTAGCACGACTCATCCACTATTCGAACATATTGCTACCTTCTTTATCGGTCCATTTCAGAAGATAACCATGATTCATCACCTAGAAGATTGCTTGAACGAAGGTTGGTGCACATCAATCACTGTTATACGAGAGTATGCTTGGTTAAGAGTTTACTCCCAAGATTGAAGACACGTTTTATGAACAGCTGCGAGAAGAGTGGGAAGAATGCGAGGGAACGAATCGAATATAACGATTGATCGGATCAGCACAGTAGATGTGAAGACGAGGAAAAAAACACTACAGATCAACAAACCTTACACAACGTTTGTATAGGATAAGTTGTCGTCTGAATACAAAACCCATAACAAAAAGGTCTGTGCAGATCAACAAACCACTGAGGAGCACGCATCGACGCCAATGCACGCCCACCATTCTCCCGAGCAACCCACACACCATGTCAATGCACATCGTCCGGGGCGTCTCGAACTGAACGCGTACCTAGTTTATTAAAGGGGATTATCATATCTCATCGTAGAGGTCCCAAGACGATTACGTGGCATTTTGCCATATTGTTACCCCTCGCGCACGTATTTCACGGTTTCATCTTCCATTGGGATTTTCACTTACTGTTTCCCATTTGGGAGATTATGTTAGAGGTTAGGGAAGCCTAAGCGGTTCGAGGATATCTCCTAGTATGTGTTTCTTTTTTGAATGAACATTAACTCGTCTATCGAGCTCAAACGCTTCGATTATATCACATAGTAGTTTTTTCCAGTGGTCATGGCAGAGAGCACTCCAGTAGTCAGTGGGAGCAAGGTCACTTTTAAAATTACCCTCACTAGTGACCCGAAGTTGCCGTTCAAAGTGTTAGTGCTGTGCTGGTCACTTTTACTTCGTTCTGTTTCTGATTGTTCGTTTAGTACTTTATGACGTCTTCAAGTTCTACTTTTCAGTCTCTCAGTTCCTGAATCGACACCTTTTACTGCTGTGATTAAATTCGCTGCCGAGGAATTCAAAGTGAGAATGATTTTCTTTTTTTTTTTGACAATCCACCTATAATTTTAACTTTTTATTTCCTGCCTGTTGCAGTTTTTCACGGCAGGTTATTGTGTGTGATACAACCACAATGAAGCTGAGATATTTGCAAAAGTTCGAACCGCAAGTGTCTGCGGTGGGGAACGAACGCGCTATTATCCTTTCCGGGGGATAACACGTTCACCACCATACCATGCGGATCCTTCGTTTCGCCTGTCTCTCAGTTAGTTCTATTGACCAATACCATCAGCAATCACTCGTCAACGGGATTGATCTGGAGAGCCCAAGTCATCATTGTAGTTGCAATCCACTTATACTTTTTGTAACACTTTTGTAAAGACATGGGAATGGTTGTTCTTATCTCACTGCATCATCAATTCAGCAACCTTTTCATGCCTACACTTGGATTTTTAAGTAGACTGACTGTTCACTGCTAAAACGTTGAAACCGCATCTTTCGAGCAATTTGAAATTGCTGTGATTTCACTCTTACATCGTGTTTGTCTTATTTCAGCTAATACCCTTCCGTAAAAAATAATGGCAACAAATAGAAAGTTGAACAATTCAGTGGCCAGTTCTTGAACATTCTGACCCAGTACACTGTGTAACATGTTGAACCAATGCTAATCAACGTTCTCATCTCTCCGGGGTCGGCGAATTCTTAACAGAACTGCTGGGAAAATGAAAGAACTGACTTTATAGTTCTTTAAACTTCCGCTAGTTATTAGCTAGGCCAAACGTGAATTTAACAACCAGTACGTTGCTTATTGCGGTCTAATGCTCAGGGTTTTCCTAAGGGATAGGTCAACACCAAACGCTCCATTCTATTGATTTCACCAATAACGACTTATATTGTCTACAGAGAATCTTCCCGTCGTACTTGATAAGTACTAGGGGTTACCATTTGGTAGACTGGTGTGAGTCGTAACGTTCATGTTATCCATTTCGCCTCCATGAGTTTTTTTTGCCAAGTTTTGACCTGCTGGGCTACATGTAGTGAGACTACTTTCTGAAGTTGAATGAGTTGTGAAACTTAAATGGTTTAGGATTTGAGATATTCTCAATATCTGGATTATGGACTGGTTGGAACTGTTTTGAAAACTGCTGTTGTAAATGCGTGAAATTTGATGAACGATGATGATTAGGTTGTGCAGACTATTTTTTGTGGGAGTTGTGGTGTACTAATTTATGTCTCACAGTTCTGCTCCTGTCGTAGGAATCTAATAGTAGCAGCGTTATTTTTGCTTTTTTTTACCTTTTAGATGTGATTTCAACACTTAAGGTCCCTGCGGCGACCTCTGCGATTATCACTAATGATGGGATCGGTGTGAACCCTTCGCAGTCAGCTGGAAACATCTTTTTGAAACACGGAAGCGAATTGAGATTGATTCCACGAGATCGTGTAGGCTCAATATTCTGATTGTGTTGTTTTTCTAATACGCGATGGTGTTCCCGGGGTAGTTGTTGTCTCTGTTCTTTGTTACATTCTCGTTTCAACTTTCACTACTTTGATAGATTTCTAGAAACCGCCTGTGACTGTGATGTTTTTTCCTACACCTTCTTAGTTAGTGTTGGACTCCACTCTGTAATTAAACGTTCTTGATCAGTTGTCTATGATGCATCACTAGTTCTCAACTATCTTATTTCAGTAGGCTACTGAATTTCAGGAAGTTGTTATAGGTATTCATAGTTGATTTGGTCAGGACCAGTATGCAATTGAGTCCAGCGCAAAGGCAGTTTATCGGAAAAACTGTAAATGTATCTACCTTTGCCATTCAGTGGGGATTTGTTCCATTCGTCGTTTATCTTGGTTTCAGGAAAGGACCGGAACCGTTACCAAATGGGCAGGTATGTTAAGACTTCAGTAAACTTTAAAACTATTCAGTTTTCTCTTTCTAAATGATGATTTGCCTTATTTTTCAGATAGTTCCCTTCACGTTGTTTAGTTTGCTGTGGGGTTAAATTGTGCTTATTTGGACTCAACTTCGTCAATCAGTAGTGTCCTCTGATAATTCGCTGATATAAGAAGCTATACGGATTGCTTATTGTTGTTTTCTGTCCTTATACTGCGTTATAAATACTAGTGATGTAAATATGGATCTAACAAAATTAAGACTATGTTGGTTTTTCGACGACAGACAATAATTCCTACAATATTTGAGAACCGTAAATATGATTCATACAGTTACATTACTGCTTACGAATGGAGTGTTTTACAGCTTATGCTCAGTATTTCCGTACTTTTTATATCCATCCGTTCTGTACGATAACCGTGATTCATCACGGTTATTGGTTGCGAAATAACAGAATTGCTAGTCAAATTGCTGGTCAGTAATTCGTGTAGCACTATGTGGTAGAATAAACCACTGAAAAGCAAACGTATTTGAGGAAACTCCTATTGGTTCAATTTATTGCTACGCATGCATGCCATACAATGCATGTAGGGTGCTGTATCTCAATACAGGAAACATCACAGTAAGACAGTGGTGAAGTGAGGCTTATCAGTTCCTTTCTGCCGTGAATACGGGTTAGCATACTTTATCGCGACTTGTACAGAGATAGGATTTAACAGATCTTTACCATGTTTTACACTGCACATTTGATACTTCCCATTAGTTTAGTAAAAGAGCCGTAAGGTCACTGCAGTTTTCTCTGCATTGTTCAGAGGATACTAGAAACAACGTCACTGACTTACCTAATAATGGAGTCTTTCGTATCAGTAGTAAAAGTGCAGTAGCGTCACCAGAAGCTGCTTGCTAATTTCTTTAATACCTTCAGTACAAACTGACATGCTTCATTGCCAGAGGACAATAAAAAACTACAAGATAGAAATAGAAGAGGAAGATGAGTGCATGGTGTAGAAACTGGCAATAAGAGGTTAGGACATAAGTGGAGATCGCTTTGTTGATTTCCTACGCGTAGAAGGTTGGACACATGAATAGTTACTCTCCTAGCAAAAAGGGAAGTGTGGATGTATGTCCGAGTACTTTGATGACGTCTTCTACTGCATTATCATTTAAATCCGCTTGACGACTCGATTTGGTCACAAGTTGGAGGATAACACATGCCATTACAGAAAAGGAAGATGAGGAAACCAGGATACCGTGAAGAGAATCCCATAGTTCACTGTTATATGGGCTTTCTCGTCAAGGTCTACGAAGGTGTTTTCATTATACCGTAATTCTCTTCAGTCTGTAAAACCTTTAACGCCACCACGAACAGAAGGAAATGGAAGCTTGCTTCTAGTGTAGTGCAACTCGGCACCAGTTCTGCTAAGTAAAGATAGAATTCCAGGCACTTCCCGTTGTGATATAGAAAGAACAGCATCTTTTTCAAATCTTTTTTTCCTTCGTCAGCCTACCAGATGACATCACCTCGACAATTGTCTATTGTCACATCGAAATCAGTAGCCTTGCTAAAGAATTCGTCTTCTTCGTTAAAAAAGCATCTCGATAAACCAGGATTCTGATTAATATATTATTGATTAATGCGGAGTCTAGGCTGTGTGTGCTAGGTGCCACCCTTTGATGACCGCTCTCTTAATGCTTTACTGCTTGGTCATGGCTGGAGCTGAAGACCATGCAGGTTACATCAAATTCCATTTAGTCGTTCTGTAAGATAGAGAAAGGAGGAGCACACGTATGACATTTCAATAACGGAAGCTTCATCGTACACAGAGATAAGATCCCGTCACAGGGTGATGGTGAAGTAGACGTTGTCATAAACCCATCTGTTACTCATCATGTCGAACCATTTGCGATCCCACCAATTCCTTTGGTCAACTTCCGCCTAGAGTTGCACGTCAGAAAAAGACCATTACCATCAGTAGAAATGGATTTGTGACACTATTAACCTATACAACTGATGGGATCGAGTTATATGTCTGCTATGAAATTATAATGGTGACGGAGATAGCGTAGTGGTTAGTGATGCCGTCGATCAGGAAGAAAAAGCGCTAGTTCGAGCCCGCCTCAACGCTGTTCTCCAATCCACGTGAGAACGCCTCAGCCTTGGTATCTTGAAGATTGCAAAGAGAATTGACTCGGTCAATATTCTACGCCATTCATAAAGACGACATAATCCTCAAGCAGCAGCCGGAATAGCACGCGAAATGTTCGAGGACCACTATGGACCATGAGAACGGGAAAAACGAATCGAATGCAAGAAGTGCTAGAATCGCACAGCAGGCGTGATTATGGGTCATGTGAAATAAATAATAAGAATATAATGCAGTGGATGAGAGACTGCGAGTAGCTGGCTTTTGGAAGGAATCTATTGCAAAAACGGCGCGTGTAGCGCAGTGGTTAGCGGTGCCTGTAACGCATACGTGGTCTTCAGATGGACCCCCGCCTCGGGCCCACCAAGCCTCCCACCGCTCCGCAGGCGGCAAGTTGCTACCAGATTTGTTTGGGAGGATAACACTGACTCTATAGTACTCGATATTCTTATTCAGCAAACACGAGGTGTAACGTTATTCTTTATTCCGTTAAAGCTGACGTTTCGGCGCTATCGCCTTCTTCAGAGCCTGCTGGAAGGGTAAGAAGGGTTGAAAAGTCGAATACATGGCGGATCTCTCAGGGATTGACAAAGGCCGAGAGTTCCTTTTTTAAAGTAGAGAGTATTCTCCACACTCTAGCAATCTAACATTGTTACCTGTAATGTACCCAAGTACTGTTAGTTTTCGAGAATGGGGCTCCAGCGTGGAGAAAACACTATTCCTACAGTAACTGCCACGACCGACTTTCTATTAACCTCGGCATTGATCACGTGATTTAGGCGTCTGGCCGAGTGAGTTGCTATCAACTTGACCTTTCCAGGCTCTGAAGAAGGCGAAATCCGACGAAACGTCAGCTTAATCGTGAACAAAGAATAGTAACACCTCGCGTTTGCTCAACAAAAATACGAAGAAAATCACTATTCCTACATCCTGAAGGCCGTGGTCGTCTACCCAGTTCATGAGACGTCGTACGGCACGGAGTGATTTCTCGCTCCGATTTTCCGCTGGTGGAACGGCTGGCTTAGCTTGTTTACTAGTTGTACCACTAAAGATCCGTCAATTCTAGCTCTTTCTTATTTTGCTTCTCAGAAACTTCCGAGTTTCACGCCTTGATTAAGTAATATCTTGGTTTTTCTAAGTGTTCCTTCGTTCTACACTCGTAGATCTCTCGTCCGTAAGAAGTTTGCCGATTTGATGGCTGCTATACACGGGAATTGAACCAAAGCCTGAAAATGTGAAGGAAAATAGCTACATGTAGGATGTTGAACTTGAACAAGAAACCATTTTTAAAAAAAAAGGGACAAAGCTGTCGGCGTTGGCTATTCCCTGACGAATGCGCCATGCATTCTACATTATGCATCGTTAGAGGTGACTGAATGCATATCGCGTTGGCTTGCCGATGTATCGAGTCGGTGTTGCTATCCTCCCGGAGAAGTCTGGTAGCAAGTTGCCGACTCCGGAGGGATAGGAAGGCTTGGTGGGGCTGTGGCACGGAGATCGATCCCATGTGTATTGTAGGGCCCATCTACCTATTGCGCTCACGTGCCCGTTAGAAAGATATTAGGAGGCGCTATACGTACATAACAGTGAACATAAAAATTGGATTGTTAAGCTAGCTTACGTGAATCGTTGTGTAGTAATATAATATGATGTAATAATCGTTGTATAATATTTCTCTACGTTTTTTTCTTTTCTTCCTCATACCCTACATAAAATTCGCAACGAAATATGATGCTGTTTTGAAGCTTGGCCCAAAGGAGGCGGTCGTCGGACGATGCGCTATCCCGCTTGCAATTGTCCATGTGAGTTCGAGATTTCTACAGTGCATTCACTCGTTTGCCTGATTTACCTCTGATTGTTTGTTTGGGTTGAGGATGTTCATGTGTGCTTTGGCACGGATTTTTTACGGGAAAGCTTCGGGAACATGTGAACATTTCTGAGTGTATTTCATTCTTTAAGATGTATTCTTCCGTTATGGAACCATAGAAGAAGCAATAACAAACGAAGAACAACTTAAGGAACGTGGATTGGATTTTGTACGCTTTGAGGTTAATATTCTATTCTTTAGTTAAGAAAGTTTTATCCCGGGTCGTCTAAACAATGCTGTGTCCCTGATTGTGTCACTAAACGAGGAACTTCTGAGAGATGGCTCAACTGAACACTTGCAGGCTCAGTCCGTGTTTTTCGATGTGCCAACCGAAATTCTATGGGATTCGAAAGTGATTTCGAGGAGTTTCACACGTGAGTTCTATTAACTATTCTTAGCCATCACCGTGCAACCGTTATTGCTTCCTGTAGTGTTTTTCTGAATGAGATAAAATTTTAGAAGGCAGAATGCTGGTCCGAACTGAAGGTGCAATATCTGGTCCTCATTTGAACGAAGAACCTATTGAGGTTCCATTTTCAGCTGAACAACTTGAGGACGTTAGTGTTTACCTGATATTATTGTGCAGAGATGCCTAAGCAGCTATTGCATAATGATTTTAGGGCTCTATTTCCTTTCTTTGACATGATATAATAAGAGACTATCACGGATACCTCAAAATTTCATAGAGAAATTTAGTTCACACGCTTTCGTTTCAGTTCCTTTTTGCTCTCGCTTTCCTCAGTCAGCATCGGGACTTGGAAGCATTTACTTCCGCAGCTCTTTGTACCATCATGAAGGTGAGTTCATTTCCCGAGATTACTCACTTTATGTTTAGTAATGTTGTCGTAGTTAGTCGAAGTTGTTTAATCTAAAGTGCTTCCGTTGACTAAGCTGGGTAATATCTATTGTTCACCCATTTGTATTCCTATGAATCATGACTCATTTTTGACCAGATGCCTTTTCTTCTGCTGAGTGAATTTTTTTCCACGATATCTTTCCCTATATGTTGACAGCTTGCCCTAGACAGATGTTGTTATTGACATCACCCTAATAAAAGCCACTTTCTACTCATTAAGATTTGCAGTTTTTTTGTCTGCTGCATGACTCTCGCGGCAATTTTCTTACTTATTCTAGAGATAAACTAACGTAGAGTTCTTTGCTGTTTACTATATGCTACCCAGTGCGCATCTTGTACCTATTAGGATAAAGGATAGTCCCTGGCATTGGTCAATCCCTGAGGGATGCGCCATGCATTCGACTTCACTGAGAATCGTTGGAGGTAACTGAATGCATATCTGGGCTTTACAATGACTCGCGGTGGCCTTCCGATGTATCGAGCCAGTGCTGCTATCCTCCCATTCAAGTACCAATTAGCCAACCCCGCAGGGATGGAGGGCTTGGTGAGCCATACGTGCAGGGACCGATCCCATGTGTAGTACAAGGCGCCTCTGAGCACTACACCACATGCGCCTTGTAGCCATTACTGGAACTAATCAGAATTGGTTTTATTACATTCGCTCTATCTAGTCCTGACTTCCTTACTGTTCCACTATGCATATACTTAGGAATCATTTTACCTCCTCAACAGCCGTGAGTCCCTTGGTCCTTTCAAAACTGACTTTCACAGACGATCCAGTGGTTTTGAAACCCCCATTGTTTCAGTGTTCACCGCTGACATTATCGTCCCCGTGGTTCTAGTTCTCTGATTTATTTTCTTTAGATTCCTTGATGGAGAGCGAACAGATCATCATTGTCCCTCGTAATTTCAGTTTCTTCGTTAACCCTTGAATATACACGTGAAAGTGGAGTCCAATTCGTCCTCCACCACCCAAGTGACCCAAGCGTACAAAACCTAGTTTTGACTAGTAATTATTGGTGGCTATTCTCCTATAGCTGTCATAAGGAAAGGACGGATACAAGAGGTATTCAAAAGGCGCCAACATGCTTTCAATCTGGGATGTGTGTAGCCCAATAGTTAAAAATGGAATTCGCACGGGGTCATTTGCCCTGTACTAGGTGATGAAGCCTCAGTCTCTTTGGAATCAGTATTTTAGTACTAGGTTTCTGGAAGGATGAAAGCACTGAATAGATACATCCAGTACAGCTTCGCAATCTATCGTTTAGGCCAAATATGCATTCACTCTTCTCTGCGATTCTTAACGAAGTCGAACTCATGGGATGTCTTTCAGGGATTGATAAACGCCAAACGCTTTGTGGTCCTATACTCAACGTACGTTATGACACCAGTCATCAAAGAATAGGTTTCTCTTCCTCACAGCATACAGGGGATGTAAGTGCTCCAAGAAGTCCTTAAAAATCGAAGCATACAGAGGATAAATATGATATAAAGAACAGGAACTCAGTGGAAGATATCTAGTGATTGGATTACCAAATCGAAGATTGTAGTCTGCCTAGCGACTCTTTTACGAGTACTACGAATGTTGTCGTAAGGAGTGATGGTAATATTGCACTGGTTTTTCCAGATTGCCGACTATTTCGAGTGCCCTACTATCCTGCATATAGTCATCACACAAATCAACAAACGCCTGGCCGGAAAGTCTCCAGTGGAGATCTGTGCCATTTTCGACATTCTCAATGAGATTACACAGTCTCAGAGAGAACAGGTTCGTACTAACCCTCTTCATTATGTGTGATGACTTCAGTAGTTCATTCCTGGTCAGTACTCATATGAGGTGGTTACAATAATGCTCATAACAAATGCTAGAATTCCAAAGTGTTGGAAAATTGCAACAACCCTGTTTAAACCACAAACCTAAATGCATATTGCAGATGGAGACAGAAGGACTATGGTATTTCAACTGCCCATCTTAATACGACATCATGTCGACACAATAGTTGGACCTGTGAATTGTTATTTTTGTTCTTGTTGCTTTTACTGTTGTAAAGATCTTTTATTAACACTAAACGCAATGACACTACTTCAATATTAGAGACAAAATCTGCAAAACAATTTTAAACAGCTATTCGTCATCCACACATAAATGACGACATAAGAAAACAACCGGCAAAAGTGCACAAGCAAGAAACCACATAGTGGCGCTTCAATGAATTTCAGAAGAACACAGAACTGCATAGTCCACACAGCTAGTACGTTCATCGAAAATATGGTCATAAGGGCTCGAAGGTCCCGTATTTGAAAGATGTGCAACGACCAACATATGCGCTCTAATCCAGATAGCATCACCAGTCTGGTAGTTTGACGTCATTACTAACAATCTATGACCAGCGATATCTTGACTAGATATACACAGTGGTCGTTGACATTTAAACACAACACAACGTAACGAAATATTGTGATAGCGATTCGGTTTGAATGTACGAGCATTTCGAGCTATTACAGTGCCATGTAAATAAGTTATGTGTGGGGTTATACCCATTCTAAGATGATGTTACACGTTTATAATGGATGAATGGACTACAATGGCCAAAACTCCAAGTACGCAATAAACAGTATGACAGGCTCCCAAGCAATTTAGTCAACCTCCATCTCACCAGGTTTCGCTGGAGTTGCGGTATCGTCCCCAGCCTGATTTTCCGTGGAGGGCTCCGCCTGTTTCTGCTCTTTTTTCTGAGGTGGAGGTGCCGGTTTCTTTCTTGTCAAAATTGGCACCACAATTGCTTCGAATGCCTGAAAGAAATACTACCAACCAGGAATATATAGAACAAAATGGTTGCTTGTCTGTGCTGTGCAATCAGACTAGTTGATCTAAACCAGGACGAATTCTCCTGAAATTATGAGGTGCATTTCCACACCTGTTGTTTCTGGGCGATCTCATGTGCGAATACAGCAGGAGGCTCAGTTTTTGGTTTACGGTCTTGTTTATGACGAGCATCGTCTAACCAGCGCTTCTTTTCTTCGATAGCATTAATAACCTGGAGTGTTAGCAACATACAACTAGGAGTGGAGTGGACTGAAACCTCAAAACACACCTTCTCCATATCGGTGCTATCAATATGAGAGTGTGCTTCACCTCCGGCAACATAATCGTCATAAGCTTTTCGTGCACGAATTATAGAAGTGTCGAATGCGTCAAAAGCAGGCTACAAGTCTACCATTTCTTTTAAATTATTGGCAAAATTTCCACTCAATCTGTGAAAATAGTAATACCTTCCTCGCCTGTGCTTCCCTGTAGCGCTCAATGATAGGATCACCAAGTTTCTTAAGCTCTCCAAGACGTTGCTCATAAACCTAGAAAAAAGCCATTTAGATAAGATATCGAAATGGAGTCCAGCACTAAACCGGTTTTTCAGTGTCTTCTCCCTCATCATACAACCAATCCTCTGTTGTTGTTAACAGTGAGCGGAATGCATCTGCATCCTAAAGAAATCACTACCAAGAACCAAAGACTGAAAAAAAGTTGCTGATCTTAATCACTTTTGTTGAACATCTACCTTCTCAGTAACAAAATCAGCTAGACAGTCTGAGATCTTCTCTCTCATTTCATACACGTATTCTTCGACTGTATTCTTAGCATCGGCCTTCTGCTTTTCAAGCATATCCGCCGACTGCATCGACATCTAGGAAATAAAATAATCGAACACCGTAACAAAATCAAAGATAACTCCCACTCCATATCTTAATAATTACCTCGATATTGGCATATTTCTTCACATCATACACAACAGGTAAACATTCCTCCACAGTTAGTTCTGTAGAGACAGTTTTTGTCTTTGGTTTTGGAGGAGTGTTTGCAGTAACTGGCGCAGATGTATCATTTGGTTGCTGTTGAGCACCTGGTTCTTCAGTAGATGGTGGTTGCTCAGCAGAGTCTTGTTCCATCGCCTGTTCTTCTTGAACTGCCTCCTTGAAATAAAATCCTGATATTCCTATTACGAGATATCAAACCTACTACTACCTATCTACTTTTACCTCAATTATTTGCGTGTCGTACATGGTAGCCGAACAAACGGCAAAAATACCATTTGGATTAAGTCGAACCTTAACATTGGATTTGCTGAGGGTTAAACAGTATAACGGTAATAACTGAATAAACATACAATTTTTACAATAAATGGATAACGCAGCACGTAGTAAATAAACAAGTATAAAAACAGAAAATGGAACAGAGAGAGATAATGTAATAATATAATAGACTATATTAAATGCAATATATATGTGCTCAAAATTTGGAACACCAAAATAAAAGCTTCCTAAATTATACAGATAGAGACGGCTTTCGAAGGTTATAAAAAAGGCTTTGAAAGTTCTGCACTCAAAAGTGCATCAATCGCCAAGTGTTCTTGCAGTACAGAATCAGGCTATAACAAGAACTTCACACAGCGAAAAAAAAAAGCTGAACACAGATAGAGGTGTAAACTGATGTACAGCCCAAATATTTCACAAACTGGAAGTGCCTGGGAGATATGAAACGAACTCAATCTGAAAGAATAAATATTTCATTTCAATCTTACCTTGACTTTTACTTTGCGAGGTTGACCACCGGCTGTTGGTGTGACCCCCGTGATACGCCATGATCCTACAAAAACAGTGAATAACCAGGAAATTAACCGACCACAGGACCTTAACATTCTAAATTCGTCAAAGATGAATCAATGGCCTCTTACCGATTGTTGATGTAGTGTGTGGAACAGTATTTGGAAGAGCATAACGAGCATCGACTTGAAATGAGTCACTTCGGTACAGAGAAACCATCTTAGAATAAGGAAACTCATCGCGTTCAATAAAAACATCCGATTCACTGCAATTCATCATCATACGTTCGGAAAATTAAATTACATACGATGACTCACAACATTTTAAACCCTACCCGCCTTCCGCTCCACCGCCGGACCATATTATTTTCACGCGATACGGTTGTGAATCTTTAATTGAGAACTCTCGTACACGAAAAGCAGGTGAGAGGATAGCACACTGCATTGCCGCACCTAAACTATTATCATAATACCAAAGATTAATAATGATATTGCTTATTACTTTACACACTATTGCTAGAACTTTCTACAGTCACCAACTAAGGTTGTCTGCGACCATCGGGGACGGACTCATGAACCCTCCGACCCTTATGACTAAGTTTCCACCAAAACGGAGATCATTCATAGCAATTATGACAGCTCTTAACTAGGCTTTCGACTAGAAATGTCGAGTCCGTTCATAGCTACGAAGACCGTGATAGTGATATAAAAGAGCACTATACATTGCAGTTCGACATCCAGTCAAGATGAGGTCTAATAACAACAGTGAACATTTTGCACTCAATATTTCCTTTCAACGTCTACTCCATGTGAATGTTTTATGGAACTCCAAACTGAAAAAGAGCTGCCACCACCCAAAAAGAAAAATAATTCGTGTCAGATGAAAGTGGACCGAATCATATCCTTACATGACCGCGAGGTCAAAAAGGATCGACCAAAGAGTTTTAGTTGCTTATCGAGGGCCCGTGAACCCGTGTCGGGCATGTCTCATTGCCTCAGAGACCAAAACTGAGACAGCACACAATTTCTATCGCACGGCTGATAGCAAGTCCAAATGCAAAGATCTTTCCAAGTCCTATAGCGCTGTGTAAAGACCTGAGCGAATATAATTCTATTAGCAGCCATGAACAAAGATGAGAACACTATCATTTTTTGCAACAGAAAAATCCATTTTTTTATTATTAAACGCTAAATTAATAAATAAATAATGATAAATAAATTAAAAAATAAAATTTTCAATATCTTTTTTCTAAGACAATTCTTCTTTTCTCTAATTCCCAAGATGCAACCAACAGTAGAAATAAGTAACATACATGGAGCCTAAAAACACTATATCCGACCACTTTCGAACTGAAAACAACTAGCTACACCGATTTTTCGCATGCCATATAACGACAAATCTTCGTAGGTAAATTACTGAGCTACAACTGATCTATCGCACAGTTATCTTATCTAGGAAAAAGAAACGAAAATATCTTTGCAATTAGCGCTCGATTTGATGCAAAAGCTACTCATGAAGAGTATCGTACTGCATATACCAGGCCTATGGTGCGATGGAAACAAATTAAAATGAATGGTTCGTTGATCGCAGGGATTCCATAAAAAAAACACTGATGGACTGACGGAAACCAAATACTACGGTGACTTTTCTGATTAGGCAGTAATTCTACTTGCTGCGTAGCAGAACCAGGGATATTTAGGTAACTCCAAAGATTTTATGTACTAGATAACTGAGCGCCTTAATCCATAGCCTAGAGTACCGACACTACATTCATTTCAGTGCGTTCCAAATTTTTTCTTTACCTCACTGTGTCTATTGATTCGATAGTTAACCGAAAGCAAATCAAAATAGTAGGGTTGATACCAAAAAACCACTCTCTACACCAAACGATCTACAAATACTCTCTTCGAAAAAATTCACTGATCGGTGATTTGACTTACAGTTGACCGTCATTACATTCTAATCATAATGGCCATTGAATGGAATGTTCAGATGCAAAAACACCGAAACAGACTCAACACAGGGTGCAAAACACCTCTAACTGGTGATATCAACGTATTTGCAAAATTAACCACATAAGGCCACAGTAAATCCTAGCATAGATACCATTTATGCCGACAAAACAAGAGAGTAAACCCTCCTCTAGAACTACACCATGTTCACATACCGTAAAGTACTGTTTTTTAAATTAAATTAGATTAACTTAAATTATTTCTCATTTTCAAAAAACTAGAAAGGAAGTAACCGACGAAAAATTGAAAAATCCATTCGAACAGCCACTCTAAACGAGACGCCTCCATTATGGGTTAAGAATGGCTTCTGAAGTATAACCGCCACAAAACATACAAAACATTGCATTCATGATCCACCACAGTACACATCAAAAACGAATCATAGATGATTCGGTATGCAATAAAAACAATTGCCGACAGAACAACGCGGAGAATGGTGTAACAGACCCAACAGAAAGCACGTTATCGTTATGACGACTATATTATATAGATAGTGGGTGCTAGTTTGCCTCCCAAGCCAAGTATATATTCTCAACCGAAAACCAACGAAATGGTACTCGCAGATGGTATCATGTTCGAAATAGCCAACGCGATGACCCTGAGGTAAATAACCGGATGGAATATGTGCGATGGTACGCATCACTCGTGGAGATGGGCCATCGAAGTGTCTAAGTATCCTTTTCTCTAATTCGATGCAAAGTCTGCAATCATGCGGGGTAAGTGCAAAAGCTGAACTCAAAAACTACCCGTAAATTTATACAGCTACTACGGTATTTCCGGGCACGTTCCCTGTAACATCTTCTCACCTAAAAGTAGTACAAAGACACCCCAAAAATACGGTACTAATGGGGTCCTTCGAATGGACTAACAAATGATTCCAGCAGATGTTACCATGCTTGAAACAGAGCGAAGTGATGAACAATGATCACAAGCTAAAGAATCACATGGAAAATGTGCTGGAACCATCACGACTTATGTTGATGGTCCATCAAAATCTCCAAACAACTAAGAACACAAAATCTCCATTCTGTTACGTACTATGGCGAATCTTTGCCTCTTCGATAAATTACTAGTCGGAAACTCACCTCTAGCTACAGCTTCATCGAGGTTCATCGTTGTTTTAGCATCCTTGTTAAAAACTTCCTGTATGATACGACGAATAAAAGGAATTCGCGAAGAACCGCCGATCATTTCAACTTCGTCCACACTTTCTTTCTGCGAGAAAAATACAATTTATAAAGTCCATTGGTTCCGACATAACAGTAGCCACTACAGACCTACCTTCACACCAGTTTCGTCTAGAAGCCGTAGAAGAACATTTTTGATTTTTCCAAACAAAGGAGCTGCCAGCTCCTCAAATTCCGACCTGTCAAAAAATATCGATTTGGGCAGAAACAAAAAGAAAATATGAAAGAGAGAGAAAACACAAAACATTACCTTTGAATTTTCCCCGAAACATCTTTGTCATGAAGGAAGCACTCAATGTTAAGAGGAATTGGTGTTTGATTGGCAGACATCTGTTTTTTTAATTTTTCACACTCGTCAAGAAGGCGCAGCCATGCTCTCGGTGATTCCTTCGCGTCAATTCCTGTAACAAACTGCTTTTATTTTGTTTATAACTCCTATTTATACTACAGGTATAACAGATTACATGGAACATAACAAGGAAAAGATCGTACCATAGTTCTCCTTAAACATCATGCGGAAATGCTCCCTAAGTAGGTCATCCAACCACAGCCCACCAGTGCTGAGGTCATAAGTGGCTCCCAACATCTAAAGTAGACATGCCTCAACAATTCTAAATGACAATACTTGGTCATCGCAATGCTACGACTCTATTAAAACTGATGTCGCACAGTCGAAGTTACTGGGTTTTTGATTCATACTGATAAAACCCTATTTTGTAACCCCTCCCCCTTCTCAAATTTCTGTCGCGATATCCTAGATTTCAAACGCAAATATGAAATTACCATGATAATTTAAAAATCCTCCGTAAAACGAGAAGTTAATAGGCACCTGCAGTTTTCCTTTGTTGAAAGCAACAAGGCTAGCTTGGGTGGAAGTGTGACCAACGTCCAGGAAAACAACATAACGCGGTTTAGCTGAATCTTCCGGTAGATCTTGTTTGTAGATGCCTTGAAACGTAGCGAATTTGGTAACAACTGTTTTAGTCGGTAAAAAGGTAAGTATAAACTAAACAAACCATAAGCAAGTGCAATTGCGGTACTCTCATTCATCACTCTAAGTGCATTCAAACCTGCGTACTGAATTGCGGCTTGCGTCGCATGTCGTTGCACATCAGTGAAGAAAGACGGCACCTACGAAAAGAAAAAACCTCCCATTGCGTTTGAGTTTTGTTGTAAATATGACGATGTACCGTAACGACACAATCGGTGACTTTCTTCACATCTTTCAACTGGCTCTCTATGATTTCACGCAGCTTGGTAAGAAGAGCAGCAAGTATCTGCTCAGGGGTGAATACGGATTGCCGACCTTGATAGTTCACCTGCAATTTGATAATAAATATTTAAAAAAAAACTCTAGGAGTAACAGACTTGATTGCTACAAAATATAATTTACATTTGGACAAAACATTGTTAGCTAAAGTTGCAGTCAACAATAATTTTTTAGTAAAAAAAAGTCAAACCTAACTAAAACTAGAGACTAAAATCAAGAATAACCAGCAATGTAGTATCGAGAATCATATCGACCGTAACACCCAATGTCCATAAGAATTCGTTCTTTTCTCGAAAAAAAAAAAAGTGAAGACGATGCTATCACCAATACACAAGTGTGAAAAGAAAATTTGTTTAGCAAATAGCGGATTGCACTGGTTTCCTTGGAAACGATTTCTTCTTCATACAGACAATTCTTCGATAACTAAAGTAGTTGAAGAGTTTCCAAAATGGAAAGGTTTAGAGAAGTCTTTGCTATAGCACCTCAAGAATAATATATAGTGCACACATACACATATACATGCACATTTTGAGTGACTCGTCGTAACTGATTGTGCGGGCCACAGCATAATTTTCCCTTTTTAGAAGTCTTGCAGGTTTAGCCATTGTGGCACCTTGGAGTCCCGAAGTGTACTAAGCCAATATCTGCCCCATGGTGCTACCACGGGCAGTTACCGCTCTTGTTCTCTAGAGGAAGATTTACCACTATGCAACTAGTTTGGTACAAGGACGGTGGTGGATCCTGGTATTGATTTACTCTTAGCTGGGCACCTTAACGGAAGCCCCAAACTCCTCAACTTGGGAGGTCACGCTAGGAGGACGAATCCTCCGCTGTGCATCGCAGCCCGAGACACCCAAGAACACCTCCCAACCATGATGAGGCGGTAAACCATTGGAAGGATATAAGATATATACTTATATTTACACATACTTTTATACAATTACATGTACACACATACAGATGCATATATACATACCAAGGTTTCCCATTCGTCCATCCAAAAGGTCTACTAGCTCAATGTGGCCCGGTGAAAGTTGGATCGCGGTGTAAAGTGGGCAGCTGATCCCTTCAACAGGGCGCCTCGAGCTGAGGAGTTTGACGTTTCCAACCGGAAGGCCAGTTAAGAGTATACCAGAAATTATGACCGTCCTGCTAATAAACTAGTCACAAGGTGTCAAATCACCCTCTGATCCACAAGGACGGCGACTGCCTCAGGAAGTGACGACCTCGGAAAGGCTTCGGCTATGCTGATGTCAGCATTCTAGGAAACTATAATGGCTCACACATCGAAACTCCAACCTTAGTATCCCGCACACTGGGTGCTCGCTTCTTTCACGTCGGGCGGAGAGACAACCAGTACTAAACGATCATGTTCGGATTACACAGGACGTCTTTGGAAACGGACAAAACGAGAACGCCGACACGCCATGGAGACTAACCCTTGCCCGGTACCGAATATACCTGATCAATTTCTTCAGATGCAGAGCCTTACGCTGTTCTGAAGGTCACTGTTCACATCAAAATCCATAACGACAAGCACAAAGATCGATAAATGCTAATTAGATGGAGACACACTTGTTATTCGTTGAGGGAAAATGTACATCCATCTAGTTCCTATCTAGTCACAAAATCCTATTATCGCGGTTGACTATTCTTCACCTTTAACTTCCGCGTCAAAAGAGAGACAGTATCACCAGCTGTTACCCACCAACTTGCACAGCTGATGAGAGCGAAATGGACACGTCCTTTCATAAATTCGTTTTCGGGAACTTCAATGCTAGACTAGGAACGGTCAAAGAAAAGGGATATAGGATGGGGAAATTCAGCACAGGAGGACGCAATGAGAATGGAAGCCGTCTTGCAGGTCTCCTGTCCACAGGAGATCTTTTCCGTACGAATTCATTTTTTGAGAAGAGAAAGTCGCCTATGAACATAGAACCTCCTAACGGTACGACATGCGGAGATCAAACACATCCTCACAATAGAAAATGGTGTCTTTTTGACACTTCAGTGCTACCCTGGTATTTCTTTCCTTCAGGATTCTGTGCTGGATCTAATCACCGCCTTTTCGGTGCGAAGAATCGACTCAGTCCTAAGCTGGAAAAAAAACTCCGATCATCGTCGAAGAAAAACGAAACATGTCGTGTATGATAAGGGTGTCTAGCAAAATTCTCTCCTCATAAGACTGGCAGATAAACGAAAACCCGACCAAGGATTATAGGATGTTTGTCGAAAAACTTCTCTTGTTCCAAACTCGTCTCAGTTCCCAAATAGGATGTCCTCACCCCATTTCCATTAGCAATAATGAATTGTTCGAAAAAAAGAAGGAAACTGGAGCTTGATCCTATGCTAACGCGAATGATAGTAAATGCTAATTGTAGATCTGTGAAGGCGCATTTACAACGATATGGGCACAAAAAGTTATGGGAAAAAGCTCAGAAGCGATGCAGTCCGTAGGGCTGCCAGCGGGATCTTTGAAACTCTACTGTTCCGCAGTTTGAAGCACGAAAATGACACTACCACTATACGTCCCCCTCATAAAAATCCACAACGATATGAATAGCATGCGCCTGTGAATCGTCGACTGGATGCAGACGACAAAGTCACCAAACCACAGGTTGTGTTTCGAGGACGCAGCCGTTATGAGCTGGCTGCAAGCAATGTAGTGTCTGGCTTGAAGAGAGGACGGCGACGAGAGCACGACGCACTTGTTGAACATAATCGACAAAACACCATGATATCAATGAACTATACGCGCAACGACTTCATAGAACGAACATTTCACGAAGTGGTTACAAATATCTCATGCTGACCTCAAGTCCAACGCTGGTAGTTGGGTGACTATTCGATCGTCTTTTTCAGGATCTTCTCAATGAATAAACAACTTCAAAGGCTGTTTAGTCTCCTCAAATGTCAAAAAATCCAAAAATTTGGAAATGAATCCTAAGGACTGTCTTGAGATGACGTGTGACTTCGCTCCACACTTCAAGCCGACTTTTTCTGATCTGTGCCAGGCACACTCCCGACACATGTAAAATTCTGTGCGGCTGGTCACCACCAAATTATTTGAGGGCTTAAGAGGAACAACATAGTGTGCAATCAGTCATATCTTACGAACTGTCCTCATTCAAGTTAGTACGAGGTTGGCACCGGTTCTTCTCCAAATACGATGGCTGACGTTTCGGTGATTTTTTTTCCTCTATGTAAGAATAGCCTCATAAATCGGTGAAACCTCCAAAATATACGCGTTATGGAAAAATTTCAAAAGTCCAAAGATGAACTAGAAAGACGAATGCCTACTATAACGCGTGATATAGCATCTTAACTCAGAATTATTTTTGATACACATCCCCATGGGTGGATCTCACTCATCATCCCTAGTGAACAACACACGAGTGGTCTAGGTGCACGGCGAGTTGTTTCTTAAAAATACCACATTTTATTACTCAGCTTTAAGGTTAAGCGGTGGGCTGTCCTTAATAGCCGGATTTCTGGATGGGCTTTTGAATTGGATTTTCGTTGGAATTAGGGAATATCAACCGAGGTAGAGCACGGTCATCCTACCCAAGAAGAGTAACCGAAGGAATCTTCATACACGAAGGCTATTTTGTCACGCATATCGAAGACCACGGGTGAGGCACAAGCAGTTGAGCAAGGATTCTGATAGGGATTCTGCTGCATGAATCACATCCAGGACCGTATCACAGGTCAAAGAGGCCCGTTGGAAATGTCACGTGCCTCTTGTCCTAACCTTAATCGACAACGAACGAAAAAGCGTTTGACAGAGTCGAAACCAATGGAATCCTATCAGCGCTTGTCGACCAATGAGTGGACCCTTCCTATATACGATCACTAGCTCACTTATCGGAACAGCAGCACAAATAACAGGCTTTTCGTTGATCCCTCTATACTCAAAGGAAAACAGGTTCTACAAGGCGACACAACAACACCAAAGCTGTTTACCGCCGCAGTGCAGTGCACAAGTCACTCTATTGGGATGAGAAAGGTTTACGGAAAATCCCTATCACATTTTCGTTTCGCCGACGATATCGTCATCTTTTCAAGAAGTACCGATGAAGAAGGGACGATGCTCAATTAAGTCTACAAAGAGAGGAAAAGGAATGGACTGCGCATAAACAGTATGAAGGTCCAGTTAATGAAGAAAACATGGCGCGAAGATAAACAAATCGAACTGATTTTCTGACTACAGAGACTACCACGTACGTGCACCTCGGACGTTCAATAAGCACAGAGAACAACATTAATGATGAATTAGACATAAGGGGCAGCATGGCCGCATTTGGGGTTCTCAAAGAAGCCACCGAACAATTAACAGGCCCAAAATTCCATGCTAATTTTCCTATTCAAAACTCCCAGTGCTTTGTAATGCGACAGAAACGTGGGCTCGTACCTCAACCACGTCAAAAAAGCTGAGCACGAACCTCAAAGCACTCGAACGATATTTTCTGAAATTTAACCGGCACTAACAACGTCTAACCGGAATGCGCAGCTCATCCTCAAAAGCTATCCCATCAACGGGATCTAGGGAAACAAACATTGATAACAAAACATTAACGGGCTTATCACATGTTCAGAACATATGTCAGATCGACGAAAAGAACAGTGGAATGAAGTCCAAAAGAATACAAGCGTCCTCTCGGAAGATCTCCCTCTCCCAAACGATGGGCGAACGTGTTCATGGCTAACGCAAAATGCCTGGAGACGGAATCTTTGTATCTGCCCTTCCTTTTAAAGGACATCGAAATGAAAACATTTTTTAAACGAAAAGCACAGAATACAGCATATTTGCGATAGACCACCTCATTATTAAACTCAACAACTAATGTTTTCCAATTTCCCTCTAAAGACTCTTCTAAATACTGAAGTTATCAATGGCCGTTAAGTGTTGGTCTAATACATCACGTTTTCACCTGTGATCCCGAAAAACAGCATGGAGATATACCAAGACACAGCTAGTAAATTATTATTAAACTCAATCATACACTTGCTAGTGAGAATTCTCCTACCTTGAAACCAATTTCGTCATTCGGTAATTGCACCGTTTCGCATGGTACAAACGGAATAAACTTTTGAGTGACAGCGTCGCTGAACTTCCTGCCAATCATGTGTTTGAAGTTTATGATAGTATTCTTAAAGTTGGTGTTCACAGACTGCCGAGCTGCCACTCCCATGGAACGGCTCTTTGGGCCAAATGATACACAGGACCTTAAACAAGGTATTCTAAAAATATCAGCGAGAAATAAAACTAAACACTTTGTTGATGGCATGTCACAAATAGAATCAAAAGACGTCGTCATGATTCTCTTCAACAGATTTAGGTCACTTATTTGGCCATTCAGAAAATTCTGGCGTATTTTGTTAACTACGATTACCAGAGCACCTCGTGAACATTACGTAATTTTAAACCGACTTTCCTCGTTGAAATATGTCTCAAACTTTAACCTTTCCACCAACAGTTTTTTGACCTTTTCATTTCCAGCTCTTTTTAAAATTTATTTCCATAAAGAATGCTACTGAAACAAAAATTTAGGTCTGACCAAATACCATCATTTGCGAATATCACAAGCCTAGAGAAATAGTACATATGGGAACAATCTATAGAGATGATTCAATACACTTCAATGAGTAGAAATTTCGTTTGAAGACAAAGAATAGTAAGAAAGACCTTCGATATTTGATCAAGCCGTTCTAATGTTCTAGAAACTGTTAATAAAAGCCCGAAAAGACGTTAAAGATACACCGATCAAGGTAAATCATTCCGATGGACATGGCTAAAACCACTTTATACTGACGTGGATGTAACCGTGGTAAGCCATCACCATGCCGTCTAACAAAAGCGTGAATTGTATTGTGGAACACTGCTGAAGGTCTCCCCGTTCAAAATAGGACGTGCGACAAATTCCTCAAATAGGAAGTGTTTTCTACACTAATAGGTAGTTAGACCTCAAAAAAATTTCAAGCCCCATAAAAATGAAATGACAATGTTAGCTATCTGCTCAACTAGCAGGGAAAAGTCCATTTTGCTTTCCAACAACACGTTGAAGAAATTCGGCAGTTTTCTGCAACAACTAGAGAGCAAATTATGAAATAGGCGGGAATTGTTACCGTACACACTTAGTATGAGGTTTAGCGAGAACTGGTGGAAAAAACGTGAAAGGTGAATACACTGGGGAAAAAGCTATACACCGCACACTATATGTGCAACGGACCTAATCCTAACATCCTTCCCACCCAACACCTTCATTTTTCGAGCGTCAAAATTTTCCGAAGGGGCAAACAACTTAGATCAACAATCAACAAAACCTAGGAAATCTTGTCGGCAACCTTGCTTCTGATTCAGGAAAGATTCTGTCTAACGGAAACAAAGATTTCTTCATGGTTATTATTAATACAAATACTGGACTTCTTACTTCTCCATAATGTAGCCTTCAACCTTTGACTGCACAACCCGCCTACAGATTCGAAATAAGGTAATTTTTGACGACATAACTAATAAATAATATTACCATAAATGATAAGAAAAGAAAGCAAAATTCTCCACTTACGGAAGAATTTAAGTAAAGACGTTACCTAACCCTAAACTTTATTTTACATAGATAACACTAGTACAAAAACAATTTTATTTCCAGCGAGTCATAAATATGAACTTGTAAACTCGAATTAGCCGACCAGAAACAAATAAAACTGTAAATCCATAGGTTCAGAAACTCACGGTGTTGCATGTAACGAGTAGTCATTCGTGATGACCTCAATGCCACCCTGGCGAGCTATGCCGATGTAGCAGTTCAAATTACCAATGTCGAAGCCAACCACGGACATAATTGTCGATGAATACCTATAAAGGTCATAAAATTACTAAAATAGATTATAAATTATATCAAGTTGTTTTATTCTATAATGACAAAACAGAGTGATAAAGCACCTTTAACACATCGAATACTATACCCAATGGCTGATTTTTTTTTTTTTGATAAAAGACGAATTCTTCTCGACAACCATAGGATTGGAAGCGTTCTCAACATGACAAGATCGCAGGTGAGACTTTGTTCTACCGCTTTATGAGTGTTAACGATATGTCTGGTACATACACGCTACTATAGCCTATCATATAAACATTTCTGTCGGCACTTGGGTGTTTTGCAGCTTTTGTTGACTCTATTTCGATATTTCTTATACCCGCACTTCACATGCAACAACCCTGATTCATCATAGCGAATAAAATGAAACATGCAACTAATCAACTCGTTCAAGAAAAACTACAAGAAGTGTGGAAAGATAGTTCTGTACGCCAAAAAGGAAAACATCGGAAATGTTACTTAAAAAAGTCATAGCGAACACAATACCCCATCACCAGTGACATCAACAGAGGACCACGTCGCCGCGAATGTGTTAACTGCTTACTGCTACAATTGAAGAGGAGACCAACAGCAATGAAAATAAATGCTGCTAATAAAAGCAACCCTGTTAATGCCTCTACAATTTCGAATTCCAGTGAGAGGAATAGAATAAAGGAGTTCACAACGAACATGCCACTTCCATTGCTGCCAAAACCTGGAACTTCTCCGTCTAATCGTAGCTAAAATGACCAAAGTATTCCCGTGGCTAACGAACGTTGTTATATTAAATGCGGAACACAGGAGGATATTCGATCTAGCTGGTAGAGATTTCAGCAGCCACTGATCCTGTTCAATGTCAAAATCGTATAGCAACTGTAAACGCACCTCCACCACTAACGCTCACCGGATGAAGAATAGTCTAGTATAGGGTGACAGACGTACGTAAGGAGCACCATCTACCTCTTGCGCAACCGCTGTCGGGTAAGAAGCATTTCACGGCGTAGAAACGAATGATATCGTCCTACCATTTCTGATCAATAAAGAAGTGTATACGTCCCACGCTAAGTATTCCACCTAACTGACCATTCCACCTCTTGCAACGTACACAAAAATGCAGCTATTGCCTCGATCCCCACCATTCCTGTAGAAAATGGGATCCGACAAGGCAACATTAAATCACCACGTTTCTTCATGATCACTTATAAATGTGCATGTGGGAGGATTTCTTTTAAAAACGTCGTTCTAAGTGTAACATTGCTAGTTATTCAGAGGCTCAAACCTCAATGCGAGAAAATGATAGAATAATGGAACAGAATGGTTCTAAAAATACCTAATAAGAAGAGTTATGTGGTACAATTGCAAACGAATAAATGCAGCTACTCCTGACTTACACACTTGAACGGTAGTGCGTGGGCCAGCTCATACTTCATTTGTCCTCTTCGCGCAGTGGTTATCCACAGTGGTGGTTGCTCCGAGCACGGTAATGTCCACGAGATGTACATCGTTGATCGTTTTCATCTACCAACTCAAGTGATTGAAATTAACCACAAACTCAGCAACCCTTGGTACAGGTTGCCGTCCTAGGGATACCTGCATCCTCTACACCACAGTCCTCTCCACCAACCTGTCGCTTCCTCTTTTCGTTACATCGCCGACCCATGCCTTGCACTACCAATATGTATGCTCTTGTTCCTTGAAGAGGGTAGAGGTTTTGGAGATTTGAACTGCTTATTTCAGCTAGATGATGTTGCTAAACGCTGGATATATTTTAGAACACACATAAAGGCGGTCAGCGGTCAGTGTGCAAAATTTTCAACGTCGTTAGAGTAGCCAGCAACGCCTCAATTGTATAAGCCCTGAGAGGGACCTTAATTCTAAACTATAACCGCGGAGTTTCGAAACCGATTTCGGGCCGATTGATTCCTAGGAAGGCTCGAACGCCTCCCATGCTTCTTTCCATCTCCCGTTTGATTCCTTCATACTGGTACCCATTTTCACAAAACGGCATAGGTACATATGCAGCGGGGTCCCCGTAATCAAACACTTCGACTTGTTCACCTTCTCAGCAAGGGTTGTTCATAAAGTTTCTCCCAATTCACGAGCAGTCCTATCCTCTTCTCCGCTTTGATTAGCTCACTAAGCATCATCTCTGTTCCACTGGAACTTCTCGAACGGTTGATAAGAAAGACAAGTATTTCACATGGATTTTCCACCAAGGTCCGAGTCCTCGTACCAGTCGACTGACTTCATCCGCAGCTTAGAAAGTAAGTCCCGAATTCTGGTGAAGTGAGACGTCTTTCTAAACCCGGAATTATGCAGAAGTTTGGTAAACTTGGAATGCGTTAAACACACGGTCGGATGTCCAAAAATACGAGCCTTATTGGTAGAGTGCTCTCCCAGAACGTCTGTCTGCGTACACCGGACTTCTCTCTCTCTCTACCCCCTTATAATCGGCCGATGCAATATGACAGCCGATCAGGATTTTCAAATTACAATTAAAGCATTGGCAAAATAACTCAAATCCGAACACCCTTTCTGTATAGAACTTTGCAGACTAACCGTATAGTATTCGTTGACATAAACCCTGCTTACCGATCCAGAGATAACTGAATGTCTTCCTACGAGTCAACGTTAAAGGTTGGAAATAAAGAACGCATTAGTGAAGATAATAGAAGCGTGCTAAAATATGAGAACGGTTCTTGACATTTTTGTTGAGAAAACACGGAGTGTTACTTTATTCTTTATTTCATTAAAGAGGACGTTTGGGCAGCATCGCCTTCTTGGCAGTTGACCAACTGTCCTTCCTCAGTGGAAGGCTTTGAAGAAGACGATACTGCCGAAACGTCAGCTCTAACGAAATAAAGAATAGAATGCTCAACAAGAACACCAAGAATCAACCGATCAACGCCGATGTTAATAGAAAGTCGGTCGTGGGAACTGCTAGATGTGTGAATGATGTGAAGAAGACGAAGATGAGTGATCAGTGTTGGAGAGCAGACGCAGTATGACGAAAGGGACAACTAGAAACACACTTCAAAAATCCTACACAGCACGATATACTCATCACAACCAATATGCTGAAGCGATTACGTCACTAACAAACTGTGAATGAGATTGAAACATCAATACTGACACCAGCCGTTGCTACTCGCCTTAGTAGTAACAACGGAGAAACATCGAAAGCATCTTACTGGAATAACAAACGGCAAATTGCACAAAATTGTATAGTACAGTACTAAGTAACAGACATATTCTTCCATGGAAGAACTACTGGTAGCAACCTGGCAGGACAACGATGGAAACCAGGTCCAGACCACCACCGCATTCAAAGTGATGACGTCACTCCACCTTCTTGGTTTTTAAAGGAGCCGCGAGAATTCCAGAAATTTAAATCTTTTTTCGTTGCGGGACCAATCTCTGAAAACGATGGACTTTCCTTTAAGAAAAAGGCGCAAGTTCATGTATGCTCAAGCGATAGTTGTAGCGATTCCTTTCACATAATAACCTTACTTTCTCAATAGAAATGGTCTGTATAGAGATAGATCTTAGTGGAACTAAGCCGAAAATCTGAATAGTTCCAGCCGCGGTGTACTTCGTGCTATATTTTTCCAGGTTAGAAGCAACTTAGGGAAGTAGAAACAAGTGTTAGAATGCAAGAGAATGTCCTTTGCCGAGCTTTACAGGCATTACCTTCCCACTATAGTTTTCCTCTGCTCAGCTACATGTCTATGTGCAGCTAAGCGTTGATTTGTGAACACAATAACTGGCAAAATTCCTTGTAGTGATAAGTCGTGGATTCTAAGTGTTAAGGAAATGCTAGGAGTCATTGCTCGCTTCTACTTCACATATACCGTCGAATATTCGAGGGTCCAGAAATGCGAGTACTTGCCTAGTTTTGCTTTCTTCACCAGTTTATTTCTGCGGCGATGGTGATGACATAGATTGGGTCCATTCCAAATAGCCGTCGAAGGCATTCGCGGTGAACAGTGCGCATTTCTATCGCACTAGTGCCTGATCTTCCTAATATAGACGTTTCTTGATACTCCGTCTAAGGCTTCAAGTATTGCCATCTTTTTTGACTGTTTATGTTATTTACTTCGTTTTCAATGAAATTTCACTTGGCAGCCCTATTACTTCGCCTATTCTTATAGTTTGGTTTTCCGAATTTATGTGTTCAACTTCTAGTTGCTCTGCCCGTAACGAGGTTATGGGTCCAACAGCAAATCCTTCTTATGCCATAGAGAAAATGGAGGTAGATATGCCAGTAAAAGTTGATGAGAAAGATCCGAAGGATTCAAATGCTGTTGCAATAGAAAGTGAGTTTTTATAGCTTCTCTATAACATTGTTAGTAGGAGGATCTAGAATCGATCACGTGAAAAGCAAATGAACTACAGATATCAAAGAGCACTGCGCTTTACTTGACAAAGGCGAAGCCCACTTTGTTGGGAGGGTTCTACAGGCTTTGCACAACACGAGGAAACAGTGCAATGTCGAGGTAGTTATTCTGCTATGTCCAGGTTTTCGTGTCTCCGAGGTGAAGTTCAGGTACTACATCGGGTTATTGTAAACCAGCTCGCTCTTTCATTACACAAAGATACCCTCTTATCGTGGGTTCCCACTAGTATTCCTGTGGCTATGGAAGTGGATACAAAATTGGCACCTGCATCAATGCCTTCATCGTCTCTTAAGTGAGTTCATATCTGCGTTGTTTAATGTTTGAATAGGATGGTTTGTACGGGATGTTTGTTGTGATAATGACTTTGTGTACCCCATATATATTTTCCTAGATCTCCTCGCCCAACTCGCAAAGTCACCTCTCCATCTCCGGAGTCAGAACTTTACATTCATCTCCTGGTTCTGCTTCATCTGGTCGACATGAAGAAACTCGATGATGCAAAAAAATGTGCGGAAATGTTAATATCTCGTGGTAAGTTAACAAACCAGACATGGATTCATTATAGAAAGACGTCGAGGACTTCTTTTTTCACGTAGTTTTTCAAGAGAGATTTTGGGATTTTTTCTAGCCGACTCTGTCGACAAGCGCTCACTGGATCCCATAGTAGCGAAGGCCATCTTCTACCTGGCTCTTACCTATGAAAGACAACATAAGTTGCATGAACTCGCCTGGTGAGTTGGAATACCTAGTTGTTCAGGTCACTGAATGGCATTCTTCCGATGAAGCACAGTTCTTCCAATCTGATAGCTTTTAGCTTCTTTAATTCCCGCCTTCGTACGGCAACGCTTCGGCATCAGAGAGAGTCCCAAGCGGTTTTGATCTGCACACTTCTTCGTTGTTATTTAATCAACAAACAATTTCAGTCAGCATCGAAACTCGTTTCAAAGGTGAGTGATTTTTTTAAAGTTTAATCCATCGAAAGGAAATGGGTTCATCATTGTTATTGATTCGTAGGTGGTTGTTCTTCAGTGTTTTCTTACTAACTCCTTTATGTGCAGTAAACATCATTCCAGGTCACCTTTCCTGAAGGAGCCAACAATAATGATCTTGCGCGATATCTGTACTATCAGGGTCGCATAAAAGCTCTTCAACTTGATTATACTGCTGCTGCCGGATATTTTTTACAGGTATGAGTAAAATTGTTTTGTTACTAGATATACACGTATATATACTATATGTGCATGTGTGTTTGTTACTGGATATGTACGCATATGTATGCACATACAAAGGAGAAAAGATAGAGCTCAGCGTGGATCTTGGTGAGGCACGGGCGCAAGGATCGGTCCCATATGTGTGTTACAGGCCGCCTCTGACAACCGAGTCACAGGCGCCATTGTACACATATACATACATATATGTAATACATATATATACGTGTATGCATATGTACAGTTATGCATATATTTTTATGTACATGAATGTACACACATATTTGCATATATATGCGTGCACATTAGGTATATATTTATATATACATGTTTTCGTTTACATACACACATGTGAACATTTCTCATCTATGCATATACATATATATGTATATATGCACACATATATTTACGCATATTTACGTTCTTTTCTCGTTTTTCACATTCTTTTCTGATTTTGTCATGTGCCGTCCAACTCCCGCTGGTGCAGATAAAGCCTCTAATTGTTTCTGTCACATATCTGAGTTTTTCGGTAGGTATTTAACGAGTACAAAGAGCGTAATATTTCCGCTTTAGATCTTTATAAACGATGCTGATCATTGGCTTGATCTTTCTCCTTTTGTTCACATGACTGTCCATAGAACTCAGTCGGAGGTGCTTTTTGTCATCGGTTGTAATTAATAAGCATAAAAGATTGGGCTCAAACGACCTATGAAATCATGTCATGTATCACAACACCCTGTATTTTATTGTCGGTGTAGGTTGGAACTTCGTGTTTCCTTTTTCAGTATGTATTCTTTCTTTGATGAGCTTACACGAGGTTGATAATGGTATTTATTTTCGGCTAACGTTTCGACGTCTTCGTCTTCCTCAGAGCCGATGATCCAAGTCGATGGTCAATGCTTGTTATTCGTCTCGACGTCGCAGCTTCGCCTTCGTGTCGAGTCAGGTCTTCCTCAGTGAGCCATCTCCTCGAATGAAGCATCCTCACTCAGTGATGCCCTTTTATACACGATGGTGATCGTCGATATAATGATAATGTCCGGTGATAACAACTTGTTTTTCCTTTTTCATTTGCGAACTATACTGTTCGTGGCACCACGCGATAAGACAGTGCAGTATGATCCTGTTTACGTACAGTTTCTGAGGCTTGTGTATGCTAAGATAGGGAAATTATGGAGTTGTAGGAGTAGGTACTTAGTCGTTTCTCTATTTGCAATATCCTTGATGGATGTTTTTGAGAGTTGATCAATTAGTTCGCTTCCTTCCCGCCAGCTTCGAAGCTATGACGTACGTTACATTGTGTATTAGCTAGTCCGTTAGAGAATACTTATCCTGATGTTGTGTAACTCAATACACCACCGAACAATTCTTCGTCTTCTTATCATCTGACATGTAGGACTTTATTTTTGATTCGGATGGATGGCGTAAGAGAAGGAGATGGGGTTGATTCGATTATTGGCGTTGCTGGATGGAACTGAATAGGGTTCTTTATATACTGTTCAGGCAGAGCAAAATTGTGATAACATACTTTTTGTCAGGGAGTCATTGATCTTCACGATATATTTAGAAGTAGCGCGCGAATGGAGCTGTGATAGGGGTGGAATACACACAAGGCCCTGGTTGGACCTCGCATAGGTCGTGGACGCCTTCCATCCCTCCGGGGTCGGAAAGTGGTGTCAAACTCGTCTAGAAAGAAATCGCATTGATGCAAAAAATCTGGCAACTACCTGCGGTGAAGGCTTGGGAACTTTCTAGCACATTTATCCCAAGAAATCATGTATAATCGACTCTACCTGCATTGAACGATTTCATAAAGAAGAACGAAAATCCTCAAGCAATGCTCGAACCCACGCGCAGATCCGTAGACTCGTGTATTATAGGTGCGAGGAAACGAATCGACTTTACTGGAATCCGTGAAATATTGATTTTGGGTAATGCAGTGGATAGTATTAAAATAAGAGATATTCTCTATATCTTGAGTCTGTGAGTATACTTGATTAAACAAAGTTCTGTACCATCTGGAGATATTGCATTAAATTTGAACCAGGAGCAAGTCCAGTTCTGACGATTTCGTATTTTTTTCATTCAAACTGGATTCGCTTAGCGCAGTAATTACAAATGTGTTGCCGTATTCGCGGCCATTGATGAAACCCCTGTACCCGGGGTAACGAAGCTCTCCAAATTTCCGAAATAGGCAGATTACTACAAGGTTTGATTGTCAATATAGGAACACTGACTTGAGTGTCGATGGACTTTCACAAGTAATAATTTGTACAGGTCAGATATGCTTTGTGACACCTTTTTGGTGCTTGATCGAATGAGATGCATGGCGCATCACTAAGAGAAATCAATGGCATGCGCTTGGACTTATATGTATGTACGTATGGACGTGTATACACATGTATATAATTATGTATCTGTCATACATGTATATATGTATATACATATACATATGTATATACATACATATCTATATGCGTATATATTTAAGTAAATATTTTACCTTTTATTTTCTGCCTACTGCAATTTTCACGGCAGGGTACTAAGCGAAATACAACCACAACGTTGCTGAGATATTTGCAAAACTCTAGACCGCAGGTGTCCGCGGTAGGGAACCAACGCGCTATTGTCCTTTCCGGCGAGTAACGCGTTTACCACCACACCATGCGGGTCCTTCGTTTCGCCTGTCTCTCAGCTAGTTCTGTCGACCTTTTGCCATCAGCAATCAAAGATTTGGGCTCCCCAGATCAATCCCTCTGACGGGTGATTACTGATGGCAAAAGATCGATAGAACTACCTGAGAGATATGCGGAACGAAGGACCTGCATGGTGTGGTGGCAAACGCGTTACTCTCCGGAAAGGACAATAACGCGTTCGTTCTCCACCGCAGACACTTGCGGTTCAGAGTTTTGCAAATATCTCAGCAACGTTGTAGTTATATAAGTAATATTCGACTTGTTTCATGCCTTAACGGCTTATTTCGTCAGGCTATGCGAAAAGCTCCTCAAGAAGCTGCGATTGGTTTCAAGCAGAATGTGCAGAAATGGGTTGTGGTTATTGGCTTGTTACAGGTAATACAGTTGATTAGTAATTATAACAAATGTCTTACCATTTGAATAACGTGATTTGAATCGATATTAAATAAGCGTTCACAACCTCATTTCATGTCCATTGCTTGTTCAGGGAGAGATTCCCGAGAGGTCCATATTTCGTCAACCAATATACAGGAAGTGTCTGCAGCCGTATCTAGAGCTTACTCAAGGTGGATTAATCTTTTTTTATCAGTTTATTAACCTATTGTCGATCTTGTGGAATTTTCCTATTCTTACTAGAATAAATTGAGTGTTTTTGAATGTTTTATCAAGAGAGAAACATAAAGAAGAAATGGGTTAACTTTGTTCTTATTATAAGGGCCGCGATTGTTTTTATTTAGCTGTTCGGACCGGAGACCTTGTGCAGTTCAACAACATTGTTAAGCACCACAGTCCAGTAGTATGTTCTAGTTGTTTAGGAATATTTTTGTTTTGCATTATATAACTTTTTCTAGTTTGAAAAGGATGAAACGCTCACGCTTATTGTTCGGCTTCGACAAAATGTAATTAAAACTGCTGTTAAGCAAATATCGCTCGCTTATTCTCGGATAGCCATCAAGGTTCGTGTATCACGGAGTCTGTTTACTTCCTGTTTATATTCATGCTGTATTTACAGGATATAGCAAAAAAGCTTGGTATGAGCAACGAAATCGAGACGGAATACATGGTGAGAATTACATAAAATATTTGATCCGTAATTTGCTATTTTCTTGGTGGGCGCAAAGTAGGTTGACGTCATACTATTTTTTCAAAAAACTAACGTTTCAGCAGATTTCGCCTTCTTGTGTGAAATCAAGGAGGTCAAGTTGAGTACAACGTAATCAGCTAAAAACTTCCGTAACCTTAACAGAAAAACCGCAATACCCAGATTACAATCGTATTGGAAACAGGATAGCTTCTCCACACATCCGCTTTCTATGGCTTCCACTGAATATTCCACGTGGAGACCAACCGTACAGAGTTTACATGGATAGGTAATGCGCCTCTCTCACGTTAACATATAATTCTGAGATACTGTGTGAGATCACGTGTAGTAACGAGGAACTCCTCGCTGCGGTTAATTTTCAGATCCTTGGTATTTTATCCAGAATGCTTCAGGGTTTTAGGCCTTGAAGTTTTAGATCCCTATGCGAAAATGGTGACTTTAAAATCTTTCTCGTTATGGGTCTTTGTCATATACGCGGCTAGTGGAGTATTTTGTTTAACTTTATGGTTACTTTCTAGGTGTTCTTTTACAATGACACAGCGGTCTACCCCTTTCAGCAGTATATTCGTCGCTGAGCGCTTACAACTGGTAAGGTACACTTTACCCGAACTCGTGCAAACACCGCTTCTATCGTTAGAGCAAATTATGCAATTTTACATTGCATGGATGATCGTAGAATCGGTTACGAACCAGCTGGCATTCTAGTGTTTGGTGATATTTTAATCACTACTACCGATTTCTCTGGACCAGACCTTTCCAAGGAACGCTTCATACCCGTGACTATTTCGTCCCAAATGAAGGGCGGGATGAACTGGACCTTAGTTTCGGTAGGTATATTGTTTGGGGACATAGTTCATCCTCTAAACCTATCCCGAGGAGCTACCGTTTCGTATCAATTGGAAATACCTATTTGGCGCCCCAATTTCGAGGAATCCTTCCACCCTTATCCTATGAAAACACTTTTGGTTGTACTATATATGTTTGTAACCAACTCCCTTTTTATGTATGCAGGGTAAGATGACTCGTGCAGTTAATGCACTCTGAGTGCTGGTTTAGCAATTCAAAACATTTCTCCATCTCCTCTTGTGCCGAGCAGATGAAAACATTTGTCGGTATACCTGCAGAATAGTAGTGGCCAAAGACCGAGTACGGGAAATTCCACTTCAGAGTTGAGCGTAATGGCAAGATTTGGTTCCAGTTGTTGTTCCATTACCAGCACTCATGCGTAATGCTTCCTCGACTGTCTAAAGACATGCTTAGGCACTTTTAAGAGAGCCATTAGCTGTTGAATGGACAAGTCCTATATCTTTATTGCTTCTTGAGGCTCTGTAAGAATTTCGACGATGACTTGCATAGCGGTGTCATTCGATACGTGTTTATTAAGCTCGGCTATTGGCACCAACGCTTGCTATTGCGTTAGTGTTTACAACAGAAAACCCGACAGTCGATCTTCGACCATTACTCTATTGTAGGCGTATATGTGATCTGGTCCACACAAGGTCATATGAACAACCGTTTTGAATTCTTGAAAGAACATTCAAAGTACATAAAATTTATCCGAGAAGAACAGAAAGAAAACTGGCTTCCATTTTTGAACCCTCAAATTAACCAATGCGAAATCGGCCACATCACCAAGTGGTGCTGATAGTGAACTAATACAAACATACTGGCTCATTAGAGCTCTCACCTCTCGCACACAGAAGAGGCGCTTTTGAGAAACATGTCTAAAACAGCCACAAATATTTGTACACAAAGAGAGCAAAAAGAAGAATTCCTGAAATTGGCACGGAAAATAAGCATTTCCAGTGGCTATGAAACGGCATAGTCTAGAGGAAGAACCGTGTCCCAAAACGGTGCACTTACTAGGTTTAAAGGTCCCGTTTATCTTTCCGTTCATTTCTAACGAAATAATCAAAGTTATAAAACGTTCCTTGGAAAGGTCCAATCTAAAGACATTGGTAGCAGTGATTGAAATATCACCCGACAATAAAACACCATATAGTTCGTAACCGTGTTTTCCGCGTAGCCGGTAGAGTGTATTTTTATGAGTTCATGTAAGATGTAACTCATCTCTTGTAAAGCGTTCGAGGATGAACATATATTGGTGAAACAGGTAGAACACTTTGCCCATGTGAAAGAACACCTGGATAATAAGCTTAAAGTTAAACAAAATACTCCACTAGACGCGCATAGAACACAGGCATATAATAGGAAGATTCTGAAGTAGAAGTCACCGTGCCCGTACAGAAATCTAAAATTTCGATGGATTCAAAAAAAATTCGTAAAATCCATACAGCATTCTGCATAGATTCCAAGACTCCAAAGACGGAAAGCACGGAGGAATGTCTCGTAATCAGGAATGATCTCACACAGTATTTAAGACTGATATTTTAATTTGAGAGACACATTACGTTCCCGTGTGAACTCTGAGACGTTGGTTTCGACGTGCCTTACTTAGTGGGAGGAAGATTGGAGGTGGAAGAAAGCAATGATTGTGTGAAAAAGCTGTTTTATATCCAATGCCATATAATGTAGGTATCATGGTTTTTATGTTATGGTTATGGAGGTGTTCGTTTGACTTGGTTATAGTTAACTCGACATCTTCAGGTTACGGGGAAGGCGAAATTTGCCAGAACACTAGCTATTGCTATAAATACTGTGTTAACCACCTCACGTGTGCTTATTAAGAATTTAAAATGTTATTCTTCAATACTGAGGTTAATATAAAGTCGATCTTGGTAATATTTGATCCTTTTCCTGCAAATTAGGAAACAAGAAAGATCTTAGGTTGCAAAGGCTATAGCCGATGGTGCGATTGATGCAGTGATCACATGTGACACTAAAGATGGACACAGATTTATGCGCAGTTCCGAGACAGTTGATGTGTATACCACTACAGAGCCACAAATACACTTTGACAGTAGAATTAAGTGTGTTGTTTTAAGTTTTTTTTAATTTTTCAATAACTGTTACCTTAAATTATTAGGTATTGTCTGGAATTGCACAATCAGGCTGTAAAAGCGCTCCGATTTCCACCAAAAAATAAGTGTGATGTGGAAAGCATTGAAGCCCAACGGGAACGAGAGCAGCAGGTTTGTTTTCTTCTCATTTCTTTTTTCTTTCTTGGCGTTAACTAATGGTTATGTTGAGATTTCCGAGAAGTATGCCATAATTTGGTCCGGAGTGTTTTTTGTACTTATACCCCTGAATCGTATTGGAGATTATGTAGGGTTTTTGTTTCTTACATCGTTTTTACGATGTTTTATGTTAGTGTTTTTAAGAGCCAACGAAACTTTTAAAAAATCACTTAGCCAGAATGACGTACATTGTCTAGGAGTTGGAATTCGCGAAGGAAATGGTTGATGAAGATGACGAGGATTTCTAGGTCCCGCGTTCCGCCACTACTAGAGATCTATTTCTGTGTTCTTTGATCTTTTATATGTAATAACATCTTTTGCATTCAAGTAGGGCAAACTACTCGTATGGTGTTTATTACTAGTAAATTGCTTCAGCTGTGTTTCCTTCTGCTTCATTGGTTTCTGTCTGCGAAGTACTTCTAAGAAAGACAAGTATTTGTGGTTTTGTCCAACTGTGATCTACAGTCTTCTCTAGATGTTGCGTATATGGCAACGTGTACAGAGCATTATTAATGCGATCACTGATTCACGATCTCGATTTCCACCACTCGCATATGCAGTGGTGGTATCAGATTGTAAAGCTAATAGAGTAACGCGCGTATACGGACTTGAAGACATGGTTCGTGACATGCGCATTCTTCTGGGTGTGCCAAAGTATAGGACACCCAAACGTAAGTGTTTTTATTTCCTTGTAAGTTGAAATGCGGCTCAGTAACATAAGAGTCTATTATGGAATTCCTTTTTCCTCAGTGGTACACAGTATATAAATTGCTAATTTGGTATGATCGATTACGGATTTTTTATAGTTTAAAGTGAACTTTTTACGCTTAGTGCTAGAGAGATAGAGGCGGGTAGCGCAGTGGTAGTGACGCCGTTCATTGAGAGAAGGGTTAACCAATCTAGGTGGTTGTTCGACTCGCCTAGCGCGCACTAAATCTCGCATCCCACTGGCGTCGGGGACTTGGACCCAGTTTGTCATCAGGAGCAACCTGACTCCATGCAGTCTGCATAGGAACGCACTAACGCGGTCAACCGTAGATTCGAGGATGGATCGATCTTCTTATCGTTATTTAAAAGTTAGAATTCCCGAAGGAACAGTTCTGGACAGGTAGGTTCGGGTTGTACAGTAGTAGTGATGATGCCATTCATTACGAACAAGTCTCAACCAACCCAGGAGGTGATTTCACCCGAACAGGACCCGTGGAATGTCCTATCTCTCCAGTGTTGGGGATTTGCAACCAGACTTGTTTGAGGCAACCTTACTCCCTGTAATCCGTGTGAGAACGTCCTAGCACGGCTATCCCAGGATTTAGGATAGTATCGACCCAACGATATTCAAAACAAATAACCTCAAGCCGCAGAGGGTGCGCACGGAAAAAAAAATTAAGACTTTCACGGACGCTTAGTGTTAAGAAGGGATTCGAATCCAAGTTGTTTAGGATCCGCACAACAGGTGATGTCGGATCATGTAAAATCGTGAGTGGTGACGTATAGAGTGCCTTGAAATGCTTGTTAATTGGGATACAATGATCTTTGTACTATGTTCCTTTCTTGGTTGATTTTCTTATGATACGTTCTCAGCGAAAAAACAGACACGGAAGTTCTCATATACGCGACTGTTATCACCAACTAAAGATCTGGTGGCGTGCACTTCATGTGGTTCACTTCATCAAATGAGCACTATTTGTGGACAATGCTACGCAAAGGTATTTTTAATTAAAGAAAAGAAAATATTTGTTTTCGAAGTGATCAGGTGGTAAATTAGGACTCATTCTTTACCAATTATTTAGATTCGAGAGCTGACAAATGAGATCAAGAGGAAAATGATGTTTTACAATCCATATAAAGGAGAGGCCCAAGACAAGGAGGTGTGCTCTACATCATCTTTACAGATATCTTCATTTTCGTGGTTTTTTAAAAGTTTTGTCCATGTTTTTAGGTGATTGTTCGGTTTTCCAACGATAACGTGGTAGATGATGGTGTTGTGAACGGAAAACGAATCATAGAGATAGAGAAGGAGCGACCAACATGGTTCAAGAAATTGTTCTAGGAAAAAAATAAAAGACTGAATCACGAGGAGTAGTCAGCGGATCACTTTTATTTCGTGAAATTATCTTTCATAAAGGAAGGGAAAGGAAAACGTGGTAGTCATGTATTTCTTCAGTGCATATCTTTGGTGTAGAAGATATTTAGTTGCAAAACAAAAACTGTTCGAAATTTGAAAGTATTTCCGCTGAAAGTGTAGCAAGGTGGTTAATGGTACCATCGATCAGGAACCAAGAGGCGCTAGTTACACCCTCCCCAATGCTCTCTTCCATTCCACATGGGGTTGCCTTAATTCGGCACTAGCCCCAAGGTTTCAAGAAGATTTGACTCGACCGGAATGCTATAACATTTATGAAGAAGATAAAATCTTCAAGCAGCAGCCAAAACAACACGTCGAATGTAAAAGGTGCAAAGATCCGCACAGTAATTCGATGACGAGTCATGTAATATGTAAAAAAAGCATAAATGTAATATAATGTTAGCCTTTTATTTGCTGCCTGCTGTGATTTTTAATGGCAGGGTATGATGTGAAATGCAACCACAACAATGCTGAGATGTTCGCAAAACTTGAACTCCGGACCAGATCGAACCATGGTCACCCTTTTCGGGGACTCGCTTATTACACACTGCACCATTGAGGCCCTTGTTTTGCGTTTCTCTCAGTTAGTTTCCTACCTAACGCTGTCATCAGCAATCACCTCTCATCAGGATGAAAAAGTAATGCAGTTGTTACGAGGACTTTCCATGAAAGCAGACCGTTCATGATAAGATAAACGTAATTGGAGCACATTCATACAGCAAGGGAGCATCATTCCAGTTTCTGCAGCAGCTCAGCTCATGGAAGGCTTCCATGGTTTTTAGTGGTTGCTGCGGCGTACGCAGCATAACTTACCGTTTCCAAAAATAAGGGATAGTTCCATAACAGAAGACGAAGACGCCGAAACGTTAACCAAACAAGGTTCTCTTTTACCAATGTGGTGTTAGCTTAGCAATGAAGAAACACGTTGATTAACTATGAGTTGTTGAACTATTTTAGATCGATATTCGTATTTTACGAATTCGTATTTGGGGAGTATGTTTGAAACTGATCTGAGTTGATATGGTTGTAAATGTTGAGCCTGAGGCGTTAGAATATTTTTACTGTGAAACGCTCATTAGTAGTTCATTTATAAATTAACAAGCTGACTGTGAACTCGGATTGTGTTCCCATTCATAAATGATGGAAGAAAACGTTGAGGAATGGCTATATACATTCATCAACAGATAGACAATGCGTCTCAATGTTCGCATGCACTTCCTTCACTCAGGTTTAGGTTTGCTTCCGCTCGCCCTTTCTGTTTTTAGCGTAGTAGACGTAGTAGTCCAAGAAATTCCATTGTAGTTTCAGGCAAAAATACTGAAACTAGGAGAGAGAACGGTTTGTTCGTGAAGAGAAGCAATGTTACCACATATCTCAGATCATAGCAAACATTAACATCACAAAGATATGAACATGCAGTGTGGTGTAAGAAAAGTTACTGGGAACCATATGTATATTTAGCGAACTTCTTTGTGGTCGTTTTTATTGTAAAAAGGTACTGACATGATAGAAATGTCTCAAGAAGAGCACAAAATCTATCTCACAACAAGGTGTCAGAAGTGTTCAGCCGACATGGAGCCGGTGATGGTATTGCAGGGTTAGTGCACTCTGTGACGTATGACTTGCCCTCTAGAATCTCATCTTAGTACTGCTGAATATCTAGGTTGTAGATGTAGCTTAGTTACTGTCTCATTGTGAGAAAGTACTCCAGAGTAGTGGAGTTCATTTCCTAAGAGTAGTAGCATTTGTAAGGTGCCCCTCTCGTAAAAGTTCTTAATTATGCTTGAGAACCAGTTAAAAATTACCAGCCGTTTCGCAACGAATCTGATTTCCCGACAGCTTACAGTAATTTCTTGATCATTGAATTATCTCAGAAGTTCTGAATTCTATGGTTTCACAGTAGAGACTTTCATCCGTTGCTTTAATCGCATATACAGTTTTTATACAATGTCTTAACAAGTTTGAATACTTTGATTAGTTAAAAAGTTCTTCAAAAAAAAGCAACCGAGTTTATGTTCTTTAAGGTTTCAAACGAAGAAACGGTAGCTGTAAACATGAGGGACTCATTGAGAAACACAATAGTGCCCTCCTAGAGAAACTCCCGTCTGCTCACTAGCTAACGTGTTTCAAATATGATCTCTGAAGCAAAAAAGTGGAAGAAGCATATCTCATAAGCGCCAGGAAACCAGGATTCTATCGTGCTAAGACAAGTGAACTTCTATCCTATAGGCGAAGATCTGTAAATCGTAGTAGTATAACTTTAATGATGCTGAGATATTTGCAAAACTCCGGACCGCAGGTGTCTGCGGTGGGAAACGAACGCTCTATTGTCCTTTCCGGGGAGTAACGTGTTCACCACCATACCATACGAGTCTTGTTCACCATAGTTCTGCAAATATCTCAGCACCATTAAAGTTATATTTCGCAATATATAACCTGCCATTAAAAGGAGTAGGCAGTAAATAAAACGGTTAAGAATCCTAGTAGTTTTTACTGCAGTTAATAGAATCCACTACGAGCTGAGATATTTTGACTTAAAGTTGGAAGCAGCCATTATTTTTGCACCGTATGGCACATGTAGAGCTCACGTCGTCGCGTACATGTTGTAAACTAGCGCGTCAAGTGTTTACTCTTGTGAATAGGTCATCTCTAGTCATGGACCTCAAACAAGCAACAGGCCAAGTTCTCTCCAGTTCTTCATCACATGTAACTGCTGACCTTTAGGGATGGAAGTGAACAACTCATGAGATTATATGGCGCTTCTGTAGCTGAACGATAAAAGTTAAGCACCGATTGACCTCAAAAATTTAGTAGTCCTGAGACACAGGTGAATTCAGCTGTCCGACTACTTGTCTTCGATGCAGTGCTCGTTCACTTTCTTGTTTACTCAGTCTATTCAGTTATTGGCTTAACACATTCCCGAATCGCAAGGTTGTTAGACAGCATACATTCACTTCCACAGAAAAACACAAAAGAATATAAGAGTATCTGACGTTTCGACAGTATCGCCTTCTTCAGAGCCTGGAAGGGTATACCGCTATACAATTTACAAGCCCAAACGCTTCAATAACACTGAAGAAGGCGATGCTACCGAAACGTCAGCTACTGTAGTATTGTGTGTGCTTTTCTATGGGAGTAAACGTATCTGTATAACAACCTCGCGATTGCTGAAAGAGAAAACGACGCATACAGTACTCTTTGAAAAAAATAAGAAAAGCGCGAGAAGAAAAGAAAAAATGCGATAAAAATTTGTAACACTCGTCAGGTGTTAGCGAAAACCGTAGCGATCAAGCGACCACATTTTGGGAATTCTAAACAAGGAGGTGGATGGATGGCGATATTATAGAGCACGAGCCCCGAATATGATATGATGCGATTCGCACGCCATCTCTGCCCTCCTCATAGCCGGCGAATCCTGATTCTAATCACCCATCTGTCATACTAATTATGAAATAAATCCGGACGTTGGCTGCGAAATCAGTTGTGAATGGTAAGTCTGACGACAACACATGAAGACACTTCATAACTCATTATGCTCCAGGATTTTTTCTTCTTAGGTTTCATTTCTCTTACTGCGTTTTCACTGTTTTCTTCCTTTATCCGTCGGTGTAGTTTATACTTTTTACTCCTACGGAAGCCCTCTAATTCCACGTAATACACTGATGTGCTGAAGGATTTGGACCTGGTTAATCTGGTTACTCATGCTGCTGTCTGGCGCTGCGATGTTAAGGGACTAGACATTGACCAAAAAACCATGAATCCCTAAGCGCAGCTGGCTCCAACAGATGAGCTCTCTATGCCCGTTGTATCAGATGGAGTTATTACCCCCGTAGTCATATGCAAAAGCACACGGGTGTATTTGCATATATGGGAGTTGCAGCTTGCATGTTATCTAGGTCAAACGCCCACAGTCAAGTTAACACAGCACAGATCAGAAACTGTAC